TTCATACCTCTCGTTACTAACTCCATACCATATGGTATCTTCTTCATTTTTAAGTCATTTTTGAAAAACTTTTCACAAAAAGAATGAGTTCATCATGATTTATTGGATCTAAAAATTTCCGGGTGAAAAAAATAAATGACCAAAAAATACCACACAATACCATCCTGTTATGGGAGGAGGTATCGTACACAATGTTGAAACTCGTAAATGACAGTCAGTATACTGCACTATGGTACGATGTTCATACCATATGATATGCTCTTATTTTAAATTTTTAATATCCATCAAAACCACCATGGTATAAACCGGTAAAAAGTGCCTCAATTTTTTCTTTAAAAATATATCAAAGTAGATATCATTTTGAAGAACACAATTAATCTGATTTATCTGTGCAAAATAAAATTAAATTGTGACTTAAGACGAGAGAAAAATCATCCATTAAAAATTAAAGGAAAAAATATTAAGGACTTTTTAGGAGAGAGAAAAGTGTTGATGTGGCGGATTCCTGTTGGGTTACTCACCATAACTAAATTTAGACCTTTCTTTTTGAGTGGACCCATAAAATTCAGATCTAAAGGTGGAGAATGAAAGTCATTTTATTTTTCCTAGTTTTCTTAATCGGCTCTTATCTTCTTCGTTCTAACTTAGATTTCAATTTTTTTTAAACAGATGGAACGGGTTCGTTGTGCTCTAAAATGCAACTAGGCGGATAACAATGATTATTTGGGGTTCTGATATGTATTCTCTTGTGGGGTGAGGGATCTGTGATGAGAAGGGGTGGCTCCTGTGATCTACACTCTGACGCCCAAATTAATACGATTTAGAGGAAAATGCATGTAAAGTAGATGTAAAGAGAGAACCATGTGTAGTGAATGTGGGGAAGAGAGAGATCCTTTGCTTGGAGGGATTGAAGCTCTATATATAGGAGTCTGACACTTCCTCAATCTAATGCCATAGGGGCTTCATTGAGGCTAATGCAGGGTGCCTCAGAGGCTGAGGCTTCTGAGTGAGTTGGAAGTGTCTTAGAGGCTGGGGCATCAGGAGAGGTGTCCTAGAGACTGACGTATTTGAGTGAGCTGGAGGTCTCAGGGGAGGTGCCTTAGAGGCTGGGGCCTCTGAGTGAGCTAGAGGCCTCCGAAGATTAAGTCGTTTTTTTGGTAAATTTTGTAAAAGAATACATGCATTAACTTTTTGGGGGGCAACTCACAATCACTCAAAATGAATTATTGTGAATCTCTACCTAAAGCTGAGATTCTAAACAAAGTATTGTGTCCTATATTTTTATTCCATTTTTGTCCCTGCTATCTTTTCTTTATACTAAGAATAACCTCATCTTCCACTACTCCTCTCTCATTGTCATCAAAATTCTACGGAAGCCAAAAAATGAAGAAAACTTCGCTGCTCCTCCCTCGACGACAGTTGTCGGAATTCCACCAGAAGAAAAATCATTGAACTCCCCTGCTCCTAAGTCCACTCTAATCCTTGAAATCCTACAGGAATCACTGCCTCCTCACTATCATGGAACTGGCTTGGTAGATGTATCTTGCCACCGAAATTCGTCGGGAATCGAAGAAGAAGAGTCGGCTTCTGTTGCGAATTACTACCTCCCAAACCAAGCACCATGCCCTCACCTCTCTTTTCTCTTCATAACTCTTAGGGTTTTTTGAAGATCGAGCTAAGGGGATCTTGAATTAGGCAATAGATCCAACTTGTATAGAGAATTAAAGATTTTCCCCCTCGATCCAATTCTTCTTTAATAGTCAATACTGTCTTGAACAGGGACCGACCTACTTCCTCCTCTTGTTTGGCATTTTTAATTGAGAGTGGATGGTGTCGGTGGGGTTTTGAGTTTAGAGGAGATGGTGGTAATTGGTAATTTATTTCTTGGTGGGGATTTGAGTTGGGAGGGATATAAGCAAAAATAATTAATTGTGATGGGATGGTTTCATTGGAGTTGATTTTTGAAATTGGGGAATCATAGACACCAAACAATGTATTTGAGAAATATATTAATTTGCACACTACATATAATTACAATTACGGTTGTCCATTTGGTTTTGGTTTTTTGGTTTTAACCAAAACCAAACCAATTGGAAAGCTAATGGTTTCAGTTTTTTGGTTTTAAACCAATAAGCAACTTAATGGTTTTGGTTTGGTTAAAACCGAAAAACCAATAGAAATCATTAAGAAACCAATAAGAATAAAATTATTTATCAACAAATATTTTTTTGTTTCTTTTGACACGCATGCCAACCAATAATTTGTAATGGCCATTTACCATTATTATGACGTTTATTCAATAAAAAGGAGGGAAATATGAATATATATGAGTGTATGAGTACATGTTGGTTTTTTGGTTATCCAAACCAAAACCATTAAGGCCCTTATTGGTTTTTGGTTGCCAAAAACCATTAAGGCCCTTATTGATTTTTGGTTGCCAAAAACCAATAAGAACCTTAATGGTTTTGATTTTGGTTTTTGGAATTTGGTTTTTCATACTTAATGGTTTGGTTAACCAAACCAAATTGACAGGCCTAATTACAATACAGCAATTCATTACATCTATCCATATAGACAATCACAACCTTCAAACATGTCCTAAAAATGTTCGGTGTGAAATTTTAAATATCAAAACCCTTTTGCCAAATCTTCTCTAAAAACATTAAAGCAGTTTGATATTTGCCCCCATGCCACGTACCCTGTATTTGAGGCACAACCTTCCACGTAACCCGCTCTCTTTTTCCCCTTACTGTTACTGGGCCCTTTAGTTTTTTGGTAAAGTATTATTTTTTTTTTCCTTATCGCCCACAAACTCCCGTCCCGCCCAGACCACTAATTCCTTCCCAATTTCATCTCCGTGTACGGTAAAAATCCCTATTCCGCGCCGATGCCGGCCTCCCAATTTCCTTTTAACCCTGCCGCGATCGCCCTCAAAATATTCAGTCATTTGTTCTGCAGACCCAGGATTCCCCATCCGCCGACCGTTCTCTCCCTTTTCCGCTTCCGTTCTTTGACCTCATTATTTTGTGCACCGCACGGCGAACCCACAAAGTTCCCGCCGCCGACTGCGCTCAACATACCAGCAACGTCGTCTACATTCTTATTTCCAACAAGTGATCTGGATTCCCACAGGTAATTCCACCTCTACATAGATTAAAGTTCCAATTTATTTACCCCTTTCAATCCCTTATTCCTTGCCTACCAATTACAACTACTTTGACTTCGCCTAATGCAATTAATTGCCACATTAAAGTAACAAGCAGTGCTGCAGGGAAGGAGGATGCAATGTGGTTAGATTTCCAATTAATTTAGCATAACAATTTCGTGGCGAATGTTGATTCATGACACTACACTTTTAGTTTCGATTAATCATACTGTAATTTTTTTATGTTTTCTTCTTCCCAGTGGAGCGGTTTCTTCTAATCTGTTTTGTTCATTTTTTAAATTTCTTTACTCTTCTCCGTTTGCTTTTCTAACCAAAGTGCCTACTGCCTACTATTTGCACAGTCTTCTTTCCTTTTCAGAATTCTTCCTCCACATATATGTTTCTTTCTTTTTTCTTTTGGTTCCGTGAGAGATAACTGATGAGAGATAAATTATTGGATAATTCATTATTATTGTTTATGATAATTAGTTAACAATAATTATAATTATTTACTCATTCAAATAATAAATAATTTTCTATGTTATTCTAATAAATATTTGTTTTCCGAGTACCTACACGTAATATTTCTTTATAAATAATTTTGAGTTTTTTCCATAGATTACGAGTGGCCAATCCACATCAACCATAGAACATTTCCATTCCCTCAAGATTTTCTCTAATGAACATCATCTCGCTCATTCTCATCATTCGACAATTGTTCTATAGCGTTATTTTCGTATAGAGACTCAATGTAACTTCTCTCGAGATTTCTAATCCACTACATCAGTTGGATTTTCACTCACTAGCTTACGTGCGTTAAATAACCCTAACTCTAGATGGTAGGATTAGGCATCGTACGCAATTTTATAGATTGACCAGAGTTTAACAGCAAGACGACATGACATGTCCACAAGATTTTTCTTTGAACCATCATTAAGATGAATGTACCTTCCACTGTTTACGAAAATAGAGATGTTTGTTTTTCCTTTCTTTCTTGAATGTCTCTAGGAGGTGAATTTTGCGTTGTAATTTACCAGGAGGGAGTAAAACTTTTAATGACTCTATTTGGTATTTTTTACAAAATCTATCTACGTGATTCTAGAAAATTTGTTAATTTAATAACTATATTATACATATACATAGGGATGTCAATCCAACCCGTAACCATGGGTACCCTACCCGACCGTAACCGGTCAACGAGGGTAATTACCCGCTTTGACGGGTTAAGGGGCGGGTACGGGTAATACCCGGTTTCAAAATAAAGGGTAGGGTACGGGTATGGTAATCGATAATACCCGCCCCGTTATACCAGCCCCGCTTACTAAAGGGTCAATTTCCCTTGAGAAATTTAGTTTAGCTACCATTATTGATGATGATGTAGACGATTATTATGTTTGTGTGGATTGTAGAAACAAGAACAATTATTATGTTTTTGTTGTTTTTATTTGTGTGGATTGTTGAAACTAGAACAATTAGAAGTATTGAGAATTTTTAATGGACAACAGTACGTATGTGCATATGTGTGTATAAGTTCATAGTTTAGCATTCGTACCCATGATTACCCGAATACCCGTGGTTACCCGGTGGGTAGGGTATGGTTATATAATTTTCATACCCGGTGGTTATTTGGTCGGGTATTTTAGAAAGCTCTACCCGGCGGGTTAGGAGTTGGTATAGGGTAAACCCGCACCCGACCCTACCCATTGCCATCCCTACATATACACAATAACGAAGAAGCTACCTGCCCGAAGGGCAGGGGTCAAAGCTAGTTTTTATCTATGGCGGAATTGGGCCGTGGCCTGATTCTAGATAAAAGAAAAGGACTGTGGGCCTAAAACTCACTAACGTGAACCGCTCCAGAACCCTTCACTCACCCAGAAAAAGAAAACCGGAATGAAGAGATTGGGTTCATGTTCGAGGCGCGCCACCGTACTATTTCACATTCAGGCGTCTCCCTCCATTCCCAACCTTCCATGAATTCTCTCCTCAGAATCCGCCGCTGGCCATTTCCTTCTGCTCTCACCTCCGCTTCTCGCCGACGACTCTCTTCGTCGACCGTCACTTGTACGTATTCCTCTTCAACTCGCTCTGCTGCGCCTCCTCTACTGCTACTTGTTCCCTTGTGACACTCGGATTAGTCCGATAAGTGTGGAGAGAAAAGCTCGACGGTGAGCTCGTTGCCTTGTAATGTCTGCTGCAGGTCGTACGGAGGACGGGTCGCCGGTGGAAAGCCCTAGCTTCGTTCATCCTTGGGCGGTGGTCCATCCCAATGCATTGATTGGCGAGGTTCAATCTCTCCTCATTCCGCTTTCCTTTTTCTCTTGTTCCTCGACTTTCAGAGTTATCGTTAAGAGTACGACCAATTTACTAATTGGCAGGGAGTTTCAATTGGTCCATTTTGCACCGTTGGATCCACCGCCAAGCTTGGCAATGGCTGCCAATTGCATCCCGGCAGTCATGTTTTTGGAGATACAGTGATTGGGGAGCGTTGTGTTTTGATGGCGTAAGTTGCACGAGAAGTCCAAGATGTTGTTTATCTTTTATCCTTTGAGATGGCTCTTTAATGGGGAAGAGTTTTTATGGGGATAATCATTGTGCAAATGTTGTAAAACTGTGTCAGGCAGTGGTGCTGTAGTTGGTGAGGATCTTCCCGGGAGGACCGTGCTTGGGGCAAATAACACTGTTGGTCATCATTCTGTAATCGGTGTCAAGTGCCAAGATTTGAAATACAAGGTGAATTTTCTCTGTTCGTTCAGCCCCCCCTTTCTGCTCTTGAACAATGACAGTAGATGGTTGAATTGTTAGATGTACTTAATAATGGATTCAAAGACCTCTTCATACGCTGTATATAGGATTATGGCTTTCCACACAAGTCTCTATGCGTCTATTGAATTGGGTGTGGAGTTGTGTTTGCTCACTTTAAAGTTTTGTTTCCTTCCTTTTCTGATAAACCAAGATGCATCTACAACATTGTCATCCTGGTTATTTTCGAATAGGTTTTTGCTGAACTGGGTATACTTTAAACTCTAGTCCTTGCATTTTTTGCTCTCTTTCTCGCTCAAACTCTGATCCTTTCCACTTGCCTTTGTTCAACTTTGTTTTTCTCTTACATCATAGCTAGTATAATTAAGTTCCATTGAAGAATAATCTCCAGAATTATAGCTCTGTTGTTTGCTCTTGGCACAAATGTTGCTTGTTTCATTCACCTGAAGTAGTGAACCCTGGTCTCTACTAAATTTATCATCTTTACCTTGTTTGTTTGTTATGACATCGATGTTGCTTGTTTCATTTTCACTAACTGTGGCGTCTCCTTTCTTTCTCATCATTGAATTTAGTCAGGGGAAGAATGTTTTCTTGAAATTGGAGACAACAATGAGATTAGAGAACATACATCAATCCACAGATCTTCAAAGTCGGATAATCAAACGGTATTCATGGTGAATTATTTTTGTTCTTCACAGTGGTAAAGAGAGATTGTCTTTATTTTTGCTTATTGAATGTATTTTGACTTAGAACGGTTGATACAGGTCATTGGTCACAACAATCTAATCATGGGTTCTTGTCACATTGCTCATGATTGCAACATTGGCAACCATAACATTTTTGCTAACAATACTCTTCTAGCTGGGCATGTTGTTGTGGGAGTAAGTTCCTTGCTCATCAGTTAGTCGCCCAATGATAATATTACTGGCAGACATGGTTCAATGTCTAATGATGAGTTGATTCAAGTGGTATAAATGTAGGATTATGCTCACACGGCTGGTGCTATCGTCGTTCATCAGTTTTGCCACATTGGTTCTTTCTCCTTTGTTGGTGGCGGATCAGTGGTGACACCTTTAATCTTCTTCCAATTCATTATTTCATTGAGATTGATGTATATTCTTGATTAGTGGGGTGTGCCTGGTCTTGTGGATACTGCATACTGGTGTACTTCGGGACATATTTTTGTTTCTTGCTGTTCACAATACCTGCCTTTCTGAGCATAATTGTTGTACAAATGTGTTTGTTTCGAGCAACGTACCCACCTAACATGGTGAAAGAATTGTGTATTAATGTGTCTTCATGCCTTTGGGAAAATGGTGGCTATATTTGTAATGTCTGTATACTTTCAGGTTTCGCAAGATGTCCCCAAGTATACAATGGTGGCTGGAGAAAGGGCTGAACTTCGTGGTCTGAACTTGGAGGGTCTTCGTCGCCGTGGATTCTCAGTCACAGAGGTTGGAAATGAGTGGCCTTCTAATTATTTTTTGCGACTCCTTATTCGTTATTTTCAGTTGTTTCAATTGGTTTGTATTTTTCCCCTTTTAAAGCTTGTTACTCCTATTTAAGCTAGTTCGAGCTATTCAGAATAGGGAGAGTATATTGAGTCTTTTGACTGCTATGGCGAAACCCATTCTTCACTGGATTTTGTTGCGAATTCCTGGCTCCTGGTTTGGAAGGTAGAACCCGGCAACTACATTTCATTATTTTCTGGAGTGACTGACTGTACCTCAAACATAATCCTACTTTCCCTTCATGTTATAGACGACCCTAAGTGCATCATAATGCATATCAGAGCTTCTAGGTTGCAATTTAGGTCCTGTGGCACAAAGGGATGCTAGCACTCATTCTATTCTGAGGGTTTCCTCCATATTGATTGGGCTTGACCTCCTTACTTCATTCGTTGTTTCGTCCATCAACTCCTACTTTTCTCTTGTCGAAGTCAATTGTCTTGCATGAAGTATAAACATGAACGGGAGTATGAGTCTACCCTGTAGATTCCGCTGCACGTCTCATCTTCACGTTTCCATTTGCTTGAACTTGCTGCTGGTTGTGATTCACATGTGGACATAGCGCAGCTGTGTGTTTGGGTTTGGGTCATCCTGTTGATTGGAATCTGTTAATGTATCTTTTTTCTTTTTGTAATAATACAGATTAAGAGCTTGAAAGCAGCTTATAGAAAGTTATTCATGCCTGTTGCTGCAAATGCTATGGGATTTGAAGAGCGACTTGCCATTCTGGTACTTTGTCTGGCTTATGTCCTTCGACCCGCCTAAGAACCCTCTCAACTTCCTCTCTCGGTTCTTACTAGTCTTTGCAGAGCACCTTTGGAGTAAAGACGTGTACATGTTCTTTAACAAAGGCATGTGAATTTGTAGGACCAGGATGAAGAGTTGAGTAAGGTCCCTGCTGTACACTCCATGGTACAGTCTCTGCGGGATTCTTTCCTAGAAAACCGCCGAGGAATATGCAAATTCAGACAGTGGAGTGGCTCCTAAAAAGAATTTTTATAGGTTAGTGTCATCTTTTCTTCTCGCATGGCATAAAGCCACAAACTCCTGCTTCCTGCACCATATGTTCTTAATTTGCATTAAGTGTATGCTTATACACATTTCTTCTATCTGATACGTTGGGTTATGCTTATGCACATTTCTTCTATCTAATTCACCTATTTTTTTTTAATCTCAATCTTGCGATGAAATCGGTTAGCAACTGATCTTAAATTTCTTGTAGGAATCCATCAACACTTCCCTAAAGCAGTTCATTTGCTTTAGTTTTTGTACCATGGAGACAAACCGCGGAGGCTGCAGACGCTGAAATTTCACAGAAGCTCATTGAATGCAGCTGTGTGTCGAGTAATTTCTCAATCGCACTGGGTTATTCTCAGTATAATTTTTACTGCCATACTTGTATCATGCTGATTCCAAAACACAGGTGTTTGAGTGAAAAGCTGATTCATGTATACTCCTCAGTTGACCTTCTCTCAGTCAGTCTATACTGTGAATTTCCTGAAAAGAGTTGTTCTAGAACTAGAAAGTGATTGGTTAAGGCTGCTTTAGACCTTCTTCTTCTTCGTCAACCCCAACTGCATCTCTTTCCTGCATCATCTCCCATTAGTATGTTACATATTTGATTACTTCCTCTGGAAAAGGGATATATTCCCTCATGAAAACAGGTGGAATATGCTTCTATGGCTGTTTGTCCTGTAGTTGCGATTTTGGTTTTGTGGGTTGGAGTGTACTGAATTGGACGGTGGAGTGATTAGAAATGGTAATGGTCTTTTGGTTGGCTCTAGTATAATAACCAGATTTATTAACTACTTTTTGCTGGTTTCTGTTTGTTGAACTTTGGTTAAGATTGAGAATGGCGGCACATGCTTGTCCTCGAGAAAAAGGATTTTTCTGAAACATTAAATTTCTGTTTTGTTTTGTAGGATATCGATATTATTTTGTAGATATTATAAAATTTATTATGAAGTCTAAGTTTAGATGAAACTACAAGTTGTTTGAATATGATATTTTTTTAAATGACGCATTTTAGAGAGAAAAAAGTCGAATCTCGATTGTCACCATCCCCCTAGCAATTTGAATTGCTACAAAATAGAACAATTCGTAATTTCCACATGCTAATGTAATTTTTTTACTATCAAACGAAACATTTCAGCCCAAATGTATGATTGGGAGAGCAACTAGACATATTGTCTCACTCAAATGTCTTGTTCAAACGATGGCCTGTGAAGAAAAGGAAAAGAAGAGAGAGCGGCATAAGTGATTATGTAGGAAAAAAAATATTTAGATTCCCATTTGATTTGAACCGTTAAAGAAATTTTATCACGAACAATTGAAGGTATATAGCATGCCTGATTGGTAGAGAGAAATGACTATTTGTAGTAAAATACCATTCATAAATAAATTCCTCAAGCCTAATGAGATCCGACGACACACTACTCAATGTTCCTTTTTCGAGTTTTTAATTGTTAATCGAATCACTTTGTTTGCTTACAACTTCCTCCACCAAGTTGATCCACATATATTTTTACATATACAAAGCAAAACATACCAAATCATAACAATACAACTTTTTCTAAAAAAAGATAACTACCATAAATAATGATTAAGATAGTGATGATCATGATCATGATAATGACAATAAAGGCAGCAAGGCCCAATCCATTTGGGGAAGATATTACTTTTTACCAATCCAAAATCATATATTATATTTAATGCTAGTTGTAACTTTAGCTCATGAACTATTCGAATCTCTATCGCTGAAGTTGCTCAACTAATTATTTTACTATGGTCCTCCTTTAGTTTTTCTATAATCAAGTTCCTATCACGAGAGTTTTTTTTTAGTTTAGTGTTAAGATAGATCTCATTGCTGACTTAGTACTTGAGGTAACATCGAACGTTCCATAAAATGAATCTGTAAGGACAAATTTATCCATCCTAATTATATCGTTTTGATCAATAAGATAGTTAAACGTGTCATCTGATTATTATTATTTTTTTTGTTCGATCTTATTGGTTTATGAAGTTGGAGTCCAAGTAGAAATTAAGTTAGAAAACAAACCGATTGACCGAAGAAATACTAGGTTTACAAGTGACTAGAAAAATGTTACAATTTTTGTCTTTTCCAATTGGGGGACATGACGTACTTAACTTATGATCAAACACCATGGGGATTCATTGGGTGACCATATTTTTCTCCTTAATGCCAAAAATGGAGGGTCCCATAAGACTTTTTAAAACATGGTGAATGCATTCTATACACACATATACATAAAAATCCATACATAATAAAGATAAGGGAGGAGATATGAGATAAGCCATGTTGTGTTGTTTATATAAACCAACCCAATTGGGCAAGTCACAAATCCACACTAAAATTAAAAAAAAATTCAATAAATATATAAACCCAAAGCCATCACATCCAATCACATTTTTTCCCCATTTCATGAGTACCAATCACATTTGCCCTAGGTGTGTCACCACCCATTTTCCCCAATATCACAATCAACCAAAAAAACAAGTTCATCCATTCATATATACCCACCAAAAACCTTTCATATCTTATCATTAATTTCTCCCCTCTCATTCTTCTTCTTCTTCTTCTTCATCTATTCATCTTCTTCCCACAGACAACCCAATCATTTGCAGCAACTGATTTTTCACAACTAACAAAGATGGGGAGGAAGTGCTCACATTGTGGGAACATTGGCCACAACTCAAGAACCTGCAACACATTCAGGCCACCCCCTCCTTCTTCTTCTTCTTCATCTCCTTCTCCTTCTTCTGGACTTAGGCTTTTCGGTGTCCAACTCGACATGATTGTGCCTTCTCTTCCTTCTACCACCACCACCACTACAACTTCTCCATGTTCTTCTGGCTCTCCTTCTTCTTCATCTTCTTCCCCTCCTTCCTCTGCTTCTAACTTTGCCAACATCAGAAAGAGCTTCAGCATGGATTGCTTGTCTTCTTCTACTTCCTCCTCCTCTAACTACAACAACAACAACACCATTCCTTACCACCATCACCACAACAACAAAACTTCCATGGGGTATCTCTCTGATGGCTTGGAAATGGGCAGAGTCCCACTTGACAAAAAGAAAGGTATAATAATGAATTACTATTCCAATTGAGTATATATATATTTGGTTCATTCATTTATGTTAAATTGATGTATTTTGGTTTATGACATGAATTAATGTGATTGCAGGAGTGCCATGGACAGAGGAAGAGCACAGAAAATTCCTTCTTGGGCTCGAGAAGCTAGGGAAGGGAGACTGGAGAGGCATCTCTAGAAACTTTGTCACAACCAGAACTCCAACACAGGTTGCTAGCCATGCTCAGAAGTACTTCCTTCGACAAGCCTCCCTCCACAAGAAGAAGAGGCGCTCCAGCCTCTTCGATCTCGTACGTTCTAATAACTTCGTATTATTAATCATTATGTGCGTAATACTCGAATCGTTCCGAGCTTACTGATTCTCGACATGGTATCTGACGATTTAATTGAAAATTTTCCCTTTTTGTTAGATTGGCAACGGGGCTAGTTGTATGAACATTGACAGCCAAGAGGGAAGAGGATCCCAACATCAAGTTTACACCATCAGTCATTACAAGGCAGCCCTTCTGAAGAGTTCCTATGAGCAGCATGTCCCAGAAGCAACAGCTGGTTACGGACATCGTAACAACTCGTTAGAAGTCGCCAATGAATCAAACATTCTTCCAGCAGCCGAGGAGCGGCTGCTGGAATTATCTTTAGCGGGTCCATCATCGACGACTCCAGCTTGAGAGTCGTCGAAAAATTCGACTTCCCAAACCTGGCCTTCTCGTCAAGGTCACTTGAAGAAAACTGAAGTTCAAGTTAATTAACTTATGTGTCTTTTTTTTTTAATTTCTACTCTGTTCTTTCTCCTCTCTCTCTCACAGTAGTTAGTACAAGTCTCTGTAGTACACATACCCCTCAACTGCATCATCTCTTGGAAAATTAATATATTGTAGTATATGTGTTAGATTCAATGAAATGGAAGAATCTTTTGTGCCCAAATCACTAAAAATAAATAAATGGTGAAATAAATTGTTTATGTGATGACTCACTCTCAGAACAAGAACCAATGGAATCTCATACTTGACACCTACCCATTGGCTGAAATGAAACTAATATAAGATTTCCCAACTAGTTACATGCCTAACCACTCCTAGATATAGCAAATGAAAGTAGATTTAAAGAACTTTCATTACTATATAAACTATGTTTAGATCTCACTACCTCAATACATGTACAACTTGTAAGTATTGAAACATTGTTTAATACGAACAACAATTATTCAGAAAGAAACCCTTATCGTTTTGATAATTTCAAATGCTGGACTGACTTAGTAGCTGAGATAGTAAAAACATCTTCCTCGGAGATACCAGAGGTGGCAAATGGATATATGGTTTAGATTCGAGAAGCAATCCCGAATCCGACAATTTAGTATAGTTCATAGACAAAATTTTATTGATCAGTATTTATATTGTTATTATGGTCACTAAAAGGAAAAAAAATACAAATCATATATCTTCGAAAGAATCAATTGGGTTCTCGTCTCTTTACGGGTCGTTTGCTTCATGGATTTGAAAAATGAGGGTTTTGATAAAATTTGGGTTTTGGAAAACCATGGATATATGATGGATTTGGTGGCATTATGGATTTGAACAAGTCTATTGTTTGCTTGATGGATTTGATTATGGACTTTGTTTGATTAGATTTGTGGATATTAAATACAAATTACCTAGTTACCCTTATTTAATTATATTTCTATATTCTAATCCAAATCTTTCATTTAAAACTAATCTAAAACATAGAAAGAAATTTTAAACGCTTTACCACTATGTGGATTAATAATTCAATAGAAATGTATTACAATTTGGCGCTAATTAACAATTCATCTAATAATGTACGCAATATTATGTATCAATTGCAGCCAATTGCTCGCTTTATTGCTACAACTCATCATCTTCTTGCTAACTCACCGATGTGGAATCCGACAATCAATCAAATAATAATGTACAAGATGAGCATAAAGTGTTTCTAGGTGAATCTAACAAATCACATATACATTCATATTTAAATAAAATACGATATTACAAAATGAAATGATAAATTCTCATATTTATAAAATACGAAATTATAAAAGTTTACAGTTGCATGACCATTGAATTAAAGTAGGACAAATTTGTAATTAAAAAAATAATTAAGGGTAGAAGGTAATTTACCATCATGGATTTTAATCCATCACCCAAATCCCACCTCAAGAGTTGGAACTTCCAAGTCCGTGGGGTCCACGAATTTGGAACCCCAAAAGAGGTGGGGCCCACAAATTCCATCTCCCTAATTCCCTAAGACAAACGATGGTTTCGGTTCAAGTCCATGATGGATATATTTTCTTGACCAAATCCATCACAAAAACCCTCAAGCAAACGAACCCTTAAATGTGTCTCCTACGTCCCTATACTACAATTGGAAGCCCTAAATTTATTGGCAGCAAAAGGGACATAAATTGGTGGGACTATATACACTTTTTCATGAAAGGCATATACATATACACGTCGCTAACGATATGCTACGTATACAAGTGATCTATAATAATATTATAAAAGATACAAATAATTATGTAATTGAGGGCCTATCCAATTTTGTCGTGACTGAATGTGTACATATATAGACATATAAGGTTACAACTACTAGTGGACACATGGATATGGGACCATTCTTTAAGAGAGAAAAATGATAAAAACAAACATGAAAGGGAAAGAAAAGGAAAAGAGGGCCAAGTAGCCATGGCGATTCCAGTGTAAGAACGAGGAGAGGAGGGGACCTAGACTTCATTTCTCTGAATTCTTCACTCGAAAAGGTTAAAAATGTTGCCATCAGAAATCTAGAACCTATGATTTTGGATGGGTTCTTTTTTATATATATGTTCTACACCAACCCCGACTATGGTACTCCAGTCTATCTGTGAAAATGTTTTGACTACAGGACTTGATGTCTTCAGATCGATCGTTAAATGCTTAACGATCATTAGTGTTGCGCTCGACTCAATGGCATCCAAATCATGTGATGAGCACGTCCTCGCAGTTTGGGTTGTTGGGCCGGTCAACCCTTCTCGATTGGTCGTAGCTACTAGCTAGAGCACGATACATAGCCCCCCCTTCTCAAGCATCGTACATAGGTATATCACAATTTGTGTTAGTATACTACACAATACATTTCTACTTTTCTTACTTTGTCGATTGCTTATAGGTCATTGATACACTTTTCTTTGGTGAGTGATTATATACACTATTCATGTCTCTCCTTGAAAGGAGAGTATTACCCCAATATTTCATGGAAATACTAGTTGTAGGGCATATAATCCCACTATAGCCGCTCAAAGACAAAACCCTAGATGTAAAAAAGCCATTCTGGCCAAACTTGGTAACAATGCATATGTATTGTGTGTGTGTTTTTTTCTTTCTTTCTTTCTTTCTTTCTTCTCAAACAATTTGATTGTAATGAAAACAGAGGATTTATCGTAGGGTTTGACACTGACAGTGAGCAGATATATGATATCTTGTGGGTTGATTCTGGTCTCCCATTTCATATCATCTTGATGAGAGTTTGGAGCTATATATACATACTAACATTGACCTAACTAACTATCACACGCGTCAAAAGTAAACACAAAACTGCCAAATAGCAAATCCCAAGTTAAGAGAAAGATAGAATCACCAAGCTCCATGTTATAACTATGTTGCTCCATTAGTACGATATTGTTCGCTTTAGGACAAACTCGCACAGTTTTATTCTAGCGTGCCTTACCCAATAGGGCTCACACTAATGGACTTGGTGGACACTAATATACAAGGGTCCCTTTCCTTGTATTACCGATGTGGTACTTTGATTGTCTCGTAACACTTCAGATGTTGCTGAGAAGAAATTTTGAAAATTTAAATATGGAGGAGAGAAAGAGATGGTGAAGGAATACCAGAGAAGTAGAATTAGTAAACGACATGGAAGCCCTAAATTTGTTGGCAGCCAAAGGAGAAAAGAAAATTATGGAGGAGCATTTTGAAATTTGGCTGACGTGAAAAGGACATAATTTGGTGGAGTTCTACACACTTTTTTGCATGAAAGGCATACGTATACACGTCGCCAACGATATGCATACAAGTGGTATCCATAAATACGCAAGAGATACAAAAACAATTCTATAAAGCTGACAACTACTAGAGGACATCGATGGGACCTATAGACTTCATTTCTCTGAATTTCTTCACTCGAAAAAGGTTAAAAACGTTGCCATCGGGACTCTAGAAGAACCTGCTGCGGTTTTGGCTGGGTTCTCTTTTGTATATATATATGCCAAGGTTGTCAAATCGGTTTAAGGCATTGAGTTGGTCAAGTTAGGAGTTTGAGGTTTAATAGTCTGATCGAGGTTCGGCCGGTTTGAGTCATCGTAGACGTTTTCTAAATATATATACAAATTATAAAGTAGTAATTAAAGATTTAATGACTGAAATGAAATTTATCTTACATGTATCCATTAGAAACTTATTTTCCACGGCTTAAATCTACCTAACCTCTATGACCCACCCACCATCTCCCATCCTTTGTTCCTCTTCCTCTCTTCCCCTCACTTCTGCTACCTATTTAGGGGTCAGACCGGAGGATTTTCTAGAAGCCATTTTGAAGCCCGACTTAGGTCGGATCGGATCCAACCGAAGTCGGATAAGGGTTTGACAACCTTGATATATGCCCTACACCATAACACATTCATTCGTACCTTGGCTAGTAATTTGGTTGGTGTGGGAAGGTTTCGAATATGTTTAATTGTTTATCTAGAGCTACTGGTTAGGATGGGATCTTGTTGCCACACTTCTGGTTATCTATACTCTCTCCTCAAAATAATGTAACTCCATGTTCTCCTCTGTTTGTAATCATATAACGACATGTGCGTATTATGCTAATGAATCATGTATATGTATGTATTTCGACTTCTCTTGATTGTCTGTCTGTGATAACAGTTGGGATATTGAACCTATTGATCTTAATAGTCCATTATTGTTTTAGAATGCCAATGTAAATTGATGCGTTTTTTTTATAACCCAAGAACACCTTCATACACACACTGTTTGAGTGATGGCAGAGCTAGACCGAATCTGGAGGGTTCACCTGCTCGAGTCATTTGGACTCTCCAACTAATATCCCATTTTGGTGCCTCCGGGAACACCACAACTGGCTTGAAGGGGAATATTGCACCCGTTGAAAGAGGCCATCATTGTACTTACACCCTATTGAATGAATATCCTAGTTTATGTGTGATAGCCGCTCGCCGAGTAAGAAAGACAAAAACCCTAGACGATGTAAAAAGCCATCATGACATGGCCAAACCAGGGTAACAACAACGCATATGTATTGCATGTTTGTTTCTCTCCCACCCAACTTGATTGTAATGAAAACGTACAGACGACATATCGTACGTAAGAGTGTGACAGTGAGCAGATATGATATCTTGAGGGTTGATTCTCTGGTCTCTCATTTCATCATATCAATCCATGTCTTAGCCATGACAGCAGTACATAACCTTGCATATTGTTGAGGACAAAAGTTTGGACCTAATTAGAGCCATCAAAGAATCAAATTGATCACACACGTTAAAAGTAGGGGTGGGCAATGGGCGGGTTGGTTGGGTTTTGCCGTCAAATTGACCTACCCGCTTACTGGCGAGTTGAAATAAGTTTGAACCGCTACCCACGCTCACATTATTTTGCAGGTTGGGTTGGGTGGGTGCAGGGTGCGGTTGGGTCGTGGATTAACCCGCAATAGCGATTCTCCAACTAGCTATTAAGAAAGTTGCGACTAACATTTATAATAAGTTACTAGCAAATTAGTAAGACTGTATCAATTTATACACCTCTCACTTTGTCTCACGTGAATCGGTGTAGTATTTGCATAAAAAAAAATTCATTACTTTATCAACCAATTGTGCAGAGAAATCTTACGCATTTTGTGATTTTGATACAAATAATAGTTTGTATTTTGCATCCCAATATCTAATGGATATTAGACAATAATTTACATCATAATATCCAATATCTAATGAATATTATACAACACAATAATCAACAATAATAGTAAAAAAACTATTATTTATTCTCCACCTTTATAAGTAGATGTTCAGTGTGTAGTGCGATTCGAAAATATGATGAATATTCGATCATAAAATAAATGACTTTTTTCATGTGAAAATAGGATGCGTGTCATTCTGGTGACCCGCAATCCACCCACCCACATAAATGTTGGTAGGAGAATTATCAATCCACAATCCACTCACATAAATCATCCACTACTTACAGTTCGAGTTATTTGAGGGTAGAGCGAGATCAACCCACGAATTAACCACCCACATCCTAATCCCTAGTCAAAAGTAAACGCAAACCTATTATGTACCAGTCTATTAATGATCCACTCTGCCAAAAGATATATGGGTTTTGTTTTCTGTCTCCGCATGGGACCAGGAAAACCTTGGACCGACGTTAGGTGTGTTTTCGTTCGTTGGGGGAGCAATATTATTGTGCGACCAGTAAAGAAGCACATCTCCAAAACTCTTATGGTTGTATTTCATTCTTGAAAAGGATAAGGAAGCCATAAAAGTGAGAGGGAATTGGTGAATTTTGGCCACACAATGACGTGCTTTGAAGCAAAACCTAATCATTTGAATACTCTCAATGTAGGTGCGTAATAAATTTTTGTTGCCTTGATTTTCTTTAGTGGAGCTAGAAATAAGTGTTTCCCATCCATCGATTATAAAGGTTTCAAACCACTGAACTTGATCGAGTGCTATTTCTATAATAATAATAAATAAAAAAAGATTAAGTAGAAAAAACGTCAAATTAGACGGTCTTGGTTTTCGAAGACTTGGGCCATTCAATGATGCTTTACTTACAAAGCAATGTTGGAGATTGGTGATGTCGCCAGATTTCTTGGTTGCCCATAAGATAAAAGACTTTGTATTTTTGCAATTGATAGGTATCTATTTTGTTACTTTTAACTTTAATTTTTAAAATTTTTGCGCAGATGTAACAGATTTATTGTAATCTAACTAATCTACCAAATGATATAAATTTTTTAATTTATTTCGAGAGGTAAAAAATTCGTACCACTCATTACCATCCTATACCACCTTCATTTTTAGCTTCATTGTTCAAACAAATTTAACGAATGGGTTCGTCATTATCTATTCCGATCTACAGATTTATGAAATTTTCAGTCTCATTATGTACCACAGTGGTATAGGGGTGGTAGACGATTGTGAAATGTGAGAAATGATGGTTAGTATATTCATACTAACGTGTATACAATCATTTTATTTTATACATTTAAGTTATTAATTATTATTTTTCGTGGCAGACACACCTATGAAAAAAATAATGTATCCACCACGGCTTATCGTATAGAGAGTAGAGTCACAGTATTGGCTATACTTTTGGTTTCGTATGAGCTTTCAAACCCCCCATCGAACTTAATGGAATTACTTATCAATGACATATTTGTAGTAAGCTTTCCTTGTCAAACAATTCAGGTTTCTTCCCTGTACACGAAGGAAGCTGAATTCGGTTATGGCCTTAATTTATGCAGTTAGCAGCAGTTTAAAGTTGGTGAGACAACACATAATGCACCGTTTACCAACCAGTATGCAGTCTTAATTCCCGTTTGGCAACAATTGTCAATTCAATTAAGATAGATGCTTAGATTCGCTTGGTACATATACCCCAAAAAAGGACACTGATATTTTTGTCACGATTACGAAAGAGCTTTTCAAGCAAAAGGGACGTCTCAACTAACAGAATAGGCCACAGCTGGGGGAGCTGTCTTATTGTATTGACTATAAGGTCGTCAACTTGCGGATCGACTCACTTTAATTTTAATTTGGTGACAAAAATGGGTCGTATGCACTCGCCGGGTCGACCGCTATAAGGTATCGGGTTGGAGGTCAAAATGTGTCTTTTTTTTTGTTTGCGAAACGCGTCTATTGTCCGATTTTTCTTTTCGCCTAACTCAATCTTTGGAATCCTTAGTTGAACATTGGAATATTGATGTTATGTAAGTGTGTATGAATTTTCACTATATGTTGGATCTAAGTACGACATGTTACATGTTATTACTCATATGTTAGATGAAATTTGATATAATTTATCAGGATAAGTAGAATATAATGACTCTTTCCATATTTCCGAACTAAAACGAATGACCGGTTAACCCTTGACCCACTAACTCGACCGGGTTCGGATCAACCAGCGGGTTGACAACCTTGATTGACTACCGTGTGCTCATCACCTACGGTGTCAAATTATTTGCAACTTATCCTTCTTTCAGGCTCAAGATAGGGTGCATAACCATGGGTTATGCACCCATCAATAACCAAATCTGGACCATTCATTTAGAAAATCCAGATCTAAGGATGGAGAATTAAAGACTATTTTTATTTTCACTAGCTTTCTTAATTGACTCATATCTTTTTCGTTTTAACTCGGATTTTAATTTTTTTTGCACAGATGGAACGAGTTCACCGTGCTCTACAAAATGAGATCAATTTTCAATATTTTTTTAGGAAAAAAAAATTCTGGCCTCTCAGTACCAACTGCATACCATATGGTATCTTCTTCGTTTTTAATTCGTTTTTGAAAACGTTTGCACAGCAGGGATGAGTTCATCATGATCTACTGGATCTACAAATTTCTGGGTGAACAAATTACAGGACCAAAAAATACCACACAATACCATACAATACCACCCTGGTACGGGGTGGTATTGTATGGTATCTTCTTCGTTTTTAATTCGTTTTTGAAAACGTTTGCAGAGAAGGGACGAGTTCATCATGATCTATTGGATCTACAAATTTCTGGGTGAACAAATTACAGGACCAAAAAATACCACACAATACCATACAATACCACCCTGGTACGGGGTGGTATTGTGTGGTATACAATGTTAAAAGTCGTAAATTACAATTAATATACTTCTACTATCATGTATTCAACCATCCTACAGTATTGGTTTGTTCATACCACCATGGTACGTTTTTCAAAACATAGGTATACTTTTATTTCAATACAGTCAATACCATATGGTATAGGCTGGTAAAAAATGGCTCAATTTTTTTTGTTCGAAAAATATATTAAAGTGGATATCATTTTGAAGAGCACAATTAATCTGATCTAACTGTGCAAAAAAAATTAAATTTCGACTTAAAATGAGCGAGAAATCGTCCGTCAAAGATTAAAAAGGGAAAAATTAAAGGCTTTCCATGAGAGAGAGGATGCTGATGTCATGCTGATGTGGACGGGTTACTCATGATTACTCACCATAAGGTTACTGACCTGATCCATTCCCCTTCTTTCAGCCTAAAACAACAACTGGTAGGGGAGGAATTAGAAACCGGATTAAATAATCATGGTTTTATATATTTGAAATTTGATAATTATAGAGGGTGGGTAATATCTTATCAACTAGTATTTCCAATCAAATCGGCCGATATTATAAAGTTTCCAAAACATTAGTCTCTCGTAATTCAATTTCTACATCACTCATTTTGAGAAAACCCCGTGATAAAACACGCAAAATTATAAGTCCGAATCGACCACTGTCATGAGTCTGCCGAGTAATGCAGAAATCTTTTCACATATTGCAGCCATATAGTGCACTCTACTTTCCCCTAAGCCAAAGCACAAAGAAAGAGCAAAAAAAGGAAGAATCAACTTATGAATCGAGAGAGAGCTTACACATGTGACATGTTGCCCTAAATACAAAAGATTGGGGGAGAAAATGGAGAACAAAAAACCAAATGGCCAGCTCGATTCCTGATCCTTTTTGTAGAGGGGCATCCTGAATAGTTGATCTTCCTAAAACTTCCATACTTGGATTTCGAAAGTGGATTACTTGTTGCTAAACCCTAAAACTTAAGATGAACAAAAATGGACATGAAAACATTGACAATAGGATGAGGGGGGAAAGAACACAGATCCAATAAAAGAAAAAAAAAAAAAAACAAACATTATCAATCACTCTACAGCTTAGAAACTACATGTTACAAAGTAGTGGGGAGAGGCGTGGCAGTGTGGTGTGTTGTTGGTCCATCAGCCGCATACATTGTGACCGGGTCGCCGCGATTTCGCCGAGTTTTACCATCCAACATTCTGCTGCTGGTCAGGGAAGGGGAGGGAGACTGACTGTGTAAGCTACATCGAGAAGAAGAGGGGAAGGGAGCACTTTTACTTTATACAATTGCACTTTTGGGGTGTGGGGGATAATAGAGAACAGTTGGCCTTAGACTGTTACAGTCAGTGAAACTCAACCTCCTTTGCCTTCTTTAAGCACCTGCCCCCCAGAGAGTATAACAAGGAAGCCCATCAGGTAGGTAATTTTTGGCTTTTCCTAGCAAATGTGGAATCTTATACTATAACATCATCATCATCAATCATGAATGGTGATTGCCGTGGACCATCACAGTTATGCGCTTGGCGCTGTCTGACAGAAAGCTATCTCCTTTATACCCAATCTGGAAGGAGCAAATCATACATATACTTCAACAACTCATGCAAACACAACACAACAGCGAGCGAACAAACAAACGAACGAACATGACTGCAGATTCATCAGAGCATTCTTTCATCATGTTTACACCCTAGAATTTACCACGTAAGATAATAGGTATACGAGAAAAGGCATGAGTATTTACCTCGTGGGCGCTGTCTGGAAGGAACCACCGCAACAGCACTCCAAGGTGTACCACAGCAGGAATTAACTTGAAAAGAAATGGGGTCGTCACCTGCACCATCAATCTCAACCAAGTTCAGCCTCCAGCAAATCACAAGAGGCCACTAAACGTAACCATTTGGAATTTCATGCTTAAAAAAGATGATGTGGTTTCAAATGGTCTTGGTTCAAGTATCAGAGACCTAGCATAAGTAACAGGCAAGCAATGAAAATTGATTCATTATGCACAAACTATGTGTTCTTTTCCTGCCTAATTTGCATGTCGACACGCTCTTATTACACGTTCAGTAAAGTCTCGCATAATCATCATACGGCATGTGTACTAACCAGACTGAGGGCTGTCGTTCCGAGCAGCAGTAGATACAATTTACCCTGCACAAGTCCATTGGTAAGCATCAGATCATGGAAACAGATGACCTATGCCCTTTTACTTCTTTGCAACTTTTGCTAGTTACTGGTCGGAATGTAGAGGCTAAAACTTCAATAGAATGTAGAAGCTAAAAGCAATTTTGTACACTCTAGCATAATGCCAAAAGAAGGGCGGCATTGAATACAAACCTCAATCAGATGAAGATTAGAAGCACGACTTAGAAGAACAAAGGAAAATTCCCCAATTTGTGCGAGGGTCATCCCAACCTATAGATATGAATAAACCTGAGAACCTTCTGTCAATGGAACAGATAAGATAACCAAAATGAAGATACAAAGTGTTGTAGAAGCAATCAGAGATCTTACAAGGAGTGCAGTTTTGTTGTTGTATCTGAATCCTTTGACTACAGATGCAGTAATGATAGTTTTTACAACAATGACCAACAGTACGGAAGCAAGTAATATATCAACGTGATTCCACAGGAATTGGACATGTATTAACATCCCAATGCTAGCTAAAAAGAGAGCGGCAAATAAGTTGCGAACTGGTTCCACCTGAAAAACGATTAAATACAAATTAGAGCAAATGCATGAGATTTTAAGCAAGGCCCAGATTTTTAGGATGTATAAGCTCTCAACCAAGACAAACGCATACCAAACAATATTGCCGGATTCATAACTTCCACATTGAAGGTCAATTTATCCTTTCATCTAATTAAAACTAACCAAGGTCATACAATTAACATAGACAGGTAATACCCAAAATGATACCATAAACTAGATCCCTACTTCAAAAGGACTGATGAGCAAATGAGCACCTGGTTCCCCGGAATAATGTTTTTGAAGAAAAGGTCAAAGACATATTTCAGACACACTGAAGAGGGACAAAATCCACATTTACCGAAGTTGCAGGCCCACAGAACCATTAGTCACAATCTTGACAGAGTTAAGTAGTTATCATATTGTGAGTAAATCCTCTTAAACTGATTGTCATTTATTGAAATTATACAACAGAATGCTAGCCTACCTATTCAGAATCCACACGTAGTGAAATACAATATGGACACAAATAGTCGTATCAGTGGTAAAAGGCACTTCAGATGTCAGGCAGTCTAGTCTTACAGACATCTGGAAGAGAAAGCATCCGGGAGGAATGATGTATTAATAATGAGGGTTCTGACAAATTATGACTTCCAAGATGGAAATTGAAGAGTCTTACTTGCTCGAGTGTATGTTGGGCAAGATCAGTCGTGGATATCATCACACCGGCAGCAAAGGATCCCAGTTCAAGGCTTAGGCCCAACTTGTCACTACACTGGAATTAGACAATATCACATAAGCACGAGTGTACATATTTGGAAGGGCCTCAGGTAAGTATAAGAGTCGACAGAACATTCTACTATGATATAAGAAATATATAACTGGTGTTCTGATAGTACAATTATACACAAAACAATTTAGGAGTCAGCCGGATGGAGGAAGAAGAAATAAGGTGAAGAAAGGCTACCCAGGCGACAAGCAGACAGAATGCCACTGATGCCAACTGGTAGAGTTCATTAGTCTGTATAAATAAACCACAGTCAAAATTTTGATCACAATAGAAGATGGCATTAAAAAAAACTTGGACAAAAGGTTACCTGTGATGATAAGCTGATCATAAGCTTTAGGAACCATGGTACACAGGTACGAGATAGAATTGTTAAAGCGGCCAAAAATGCAAGTAGCAACACTAACCTGATCAAAAATATGAAATGTGGCGATTACTGAATCCGAACCAAATTAATGAACTACAAAAGATTACATGTACAACCCTAAAAGCAACGAGACTAAACATGAAGAATGAGTAAATACAGCATCAATTATGCAAGTATGTCTGCAAAATATAAAAATGATACCAAATAAACTCAAGTGCTTAACTTCATGTCTTTAACCACCTTAAGAACTTACAACCTACAAAAATTAAGTACATGCATAATATTCTCCCAAACAAAGAGTGAACAGGTGCAGTGATGTGCAAACAACAGTTGTAAGAAGTCATGATTAGAGCACAGCTTATATCAATTTAATCATGTTTGCTTCTAATAACATCTACATTTAATTGAGCATTAGCATGTTCGACTTTTAAAAACGTATACAATTCATGTATGATGGGGTTCAGATACTTACAATTTAGACATGGATATCACACCCTGAAGAACGCCAGATGTACCACCAAGGACAGGAAGTAAAGCAAACAGCAGGCCAACAGCACAGTCCTGACATATCATAAATCTAAATATGAGAAGGAAACTCCATGAATAGCACTCATAAAATTATAAAGCTAAAACCCAAACATCGGAAATTGCCCATTTTTTAGTCCCTGACATTGCAAGTCGAGTAGCCTACCTGCAGAATGAGGGTACCGACAGTGACCTGACCGTACAGGGTATTTATGCTATTTCTTTCCATCAGAAATTTCAAAACCTGCAGCAGAACAAATTTAACCATAGATAAGAAAACAGTGGAGACAGATAAACAGACAGGTCAACCAAAAAAAAAAAAGAACAAGAAGCCCCGCAGTCAGAATAATGGGTTATGTATCATTACTTGCATAGCAGGCAAGTGATAGCACTACAACAGAATAGCAAAAGATGCCAACGAAGAGAAGGACAGACTCAAAGAGGCACAATGACAACTATAATTACAAATGAGCCATTTCTTACAGTAGCAGACTGCATTGGCTAGTGTATCATTACTTGTATTAATCATGAAAGATTGAATAAACCAGCATAGTTGTTCATTCCATTGATAGATACTTATTAGTGTCCGGTCTCATTTAAGTAACCATCTTATAAAAATAGTTTAAAACAACAGCAGTGACCAACATTGACAAGGCCACAACTTAGTATTCCAAATGTCTCAGACATGACCTTCCTTGGTCAATCTGCCCACCAATGCCCATGTGAAGAAAGAAAAGTTGAAAGATACACCTAACTGGCCAACAAAATGAAAACCGGATATATGGCTGGAATACCAAAGACTGTCATTGCTGCAGGAGGAGCAGAGGAACAAGACATATATACAATCAAAGGGCACAAATAAAGGATTTTCATCCTCCTTGCTTGATAGCAATTCACAGGAAAAGGCTCGTTTGAACTACAGCCATATGCATGCAATAAGCCATTGCCATCATACAACAGAAGGAGATCAAACAGAACAAACTTAATCTAGCGAACTGTGAAACAGATAACGTATTTGAATGCAGTGTCACGAATACAGAAGCAAAATTAATCAATCTATGCCAGAGAAGGTTACCACAGCAGTCGAAGACATTGAGAGAAATGCACCAACAAATACTCCCTCTGAAGGCTTACCTCCACAGAACTGGCAAAGGATATAAAAGAAACATGCTATTAGAGGCATCACCAAGTTACAGCAGGGATGTAATGGGGAAATCTGCATATATGTTATACAGAACTCTATATACTCTTTATTTCATCTTGTGGATAGTTTCTTATCCTCGTCCATATAATTAAATTTCTTTAAGAATGTTGGCCTTTGAGAACTTAAAACAATGCATAATATACCGAGGCTATCAATCCACAAAGGCACATAAAGAGCGAAATCTGGAGAAGGCCTCCAACAACAGCAACTGCTCGGACAACTCGAAGCTGCATTTGGAGCAGAAATGCAAAAGGTTATGTTGTAAAGTAGTTAAAAGTTAAAACCACACAAGCAGAAAGGAAAATGTGCAAACCTTGGTGACGGAGAACTCCAGACCCAGTGCAAACAGGAGGAAAATAACACCAAATTGTGCCACTGTCTCCACCTGTTAATTTTACAGTATATTATAAGAAAATAAATTTTGTGTAGAACCTTGCTAGACAAGAAGAAAACTAAACAGCATAGGTATTCTCAGTAGCAAACTTCACAATTGTACAAGTTTCATCAGCAAATATTGCTACTAAAGTTCAAAGTATGAAGAGAAGAATTCATGGATTAGAGTTAAGAAAGCTCAGCCTAACAGTAAGTAACATTACTGGCTATGATTGGTATGAATATATACTGCATCAGCTTAAGAAAAAGGTTTAAAGTAGTGAATGACTTAAGAAAAACTAGACAAGACACCAAACTAATGACATAAGGACCCAAAAAGACACGAGACACTTGACATCTATTATTTTATTATCTCAGCTAGATTTCAACTGCAAATATTGCACCTACACTAGAACGTTAGAATTTATGGAAAACTTCACAGCTGCCTGAGTCTGAGAAATGAAATTGTAAATGAAAATATATCTACATATCTGAACCTTACTGGATTCCTGTGGAATCATATCATATCACAAGGAAAGAGACAAAGGGGAAAAAACAGCATGCCAACTTACCTGTACCATTTCACTGACAAAGCTGAAGCCCCCTGGCCCAATTACAGATCCTGCTAGCAGGTATCCTGTAAATACCTGAATATAGCGTTTCATTAACATCAGTGGTTCTTTAAATGTGGGCTAGTAAAGAAAGCATCTTGAATCATAAAGGATGCCAACGGATGATATCAAAAAAGTAAGAGAAAGAATGGAATTAAACAAGCAGTAAGGATGTGAGAGAAACTCGTGGTCAATCATAAAGCATATAGCAGTCAAGTTAGCTAACCGGTTGTCCAGCACAAGCAAATGCTATTCCACCACAAGCAGCAGAAACGATGACAACCACTAGATCTGATATCAAACTGTAATGATAAAAATGTGAAACAGAAAGCCAACAGAAGATATTACTGTTAGTTGCCATTTCTAAAGTATGAAGGATCAAGATGAAGAAACAAATAGGATCAAGCTCACGTTAAGTCAAGTTGTAGCACAGGATATTTGGACTTCGGATTTGATATTATAAAGACATTGTCCTGAAATAAAATGGACAATAAGAAAAAGAGAGAGAATGTGTCAGTTCCAGATGCCGGAGACTTACCATCATAGAGTTTCCTAGTATTGAGCTTCAACTAAATGGTTCAAATGTTTACATTTTGAAATGAAAGACATATATTCATTGTACCTTTTTATCAATCAATCTTGGAGCATCTTCCCCTCGGTTATCATTGTCAAAATTGAAAACACTATGAAACTGAAAGGACCTGGCATATTTCACAGGGGAGTTGGCAGTTGTCAGATCTGCTAGTAAAACTAGTTCAACTGTAACAGAAATTTCCAGAAGAAGGAAAATATATGCAGCAAAATGAACACATACTTCTCTTCCTTGGATTCATTCTTCTTGGTTGTGACCCTGGCAACAGTCTCCAAAACTGCCTAGCGCAATGAAACATTTCCAATTAAGCACCAGTTAACAAGGAGACAGTAGTCCATAATGAGAAATCTAATGCAATTATGACTACAACCATGGCCAGCATTCACAACCACAAATTTGTTTCTACCACCCCCGTCAAAGTTGACATATTTGGATACATGCCCACACTCACCGAACTCCTAATACAATCGAATCAAAAGTACTACACTTTTTTTAATTGTACGCCTACAACCACCCGGGTCTTTACTTGGAGCCACAGCAACAGTTACAAGACCATCAATTAAAGCCCAGTGTTGAACTTGAACTGCAATGAGTCATCAGCATCTTAACATTCTACTACGTTAGAGGAATTCACATTAGATTCCAATATGGTGATAGTTCTAGTGTGGGTGCCTACTACAATAGCTTCCAGCTTATTCTAGTACAGTCTGCCTAAATCTCAAGAACCAAGTGAGCACACTGTTGTGATATACGGTGCCCATAAACATATACAGCATAAGCAACAACTTAGAGAAACCTCTATGAGTTACACCACCGAAAAGCAAAAAATGTTACCAACCTGCTGTCCAGCAACACTGTTATTGAAGCTGCCGGGATCAGTGGCTGCAAATGAAAACGCAAAGAGCTGAGTATGTCTGATACTCAAAGCTTCTGTGATTTCAAATTCGGGCAAGAGAACACTTTTTCCACAAGTATTTAGGTCGAATCAGAGTGAAGACGATATTCAATCAACCAGAAGCTTAAACCAACAGCGCATCCCAGACTCCAGAATCGAAACTTTTCAAGAAAATGCAATGGAGTAATTGAAGAAAGAAAAGAAAAACACGGATTAGCTGCTGAATTAGCAGGATTTGGCAATTGAAACCTCACCCGCCATTGCTGAAAAGCCCTATTGCTTCATGAATTAGAGAAAAAGCAAAACAGAGAAAGCGAAAAAAATGCAGCTCTCCCATATGAATGAGCTCGGATCCAGGTTAACAGACCTTCTCCCTGGTCCGTCTCATTGAACTCCTTCTCCAGTGCGCGATCGATCATGAAGGCGAAGGTGTCCTCCCTGGATCTGAGTTTCGTGGAGTTGGAATCCAGGGTTGCATTTACCTCCGCGGTGGAGTTGGAATCTCCATTGGCTGATTCAGCGGCCGGAAAGCAGACGAGGAGAGCACAGAAGAAGAGAGCCGGAGCTAAGAGTAATCTCATTGCAGTCTCCGTTCACACACAGAGAGAGACGGAGAGAGAACAGTCTCGGAGATCAATGGAGAGGCGGGAGGGAAGGCAGTGAGCCAGCGGAAAGTGGTTCTGCGACTGAAACAAACGCCGACCGTTCCCGAGTTCACAGTGCTGGCGCTCAAGTGGCAGAGGAAGAAAAGAAAAGAAGAAGAAGCGAAAAAAAGCATATTTTCGTTTGCTCGCTCGACCCTCCGGTTTGAGAGGACGGGGAAGTGAGGAGAGGGGTAAAGCCGTCAAGGGACAATTTTGGATTATCATATATTTCTAATTTTTTCTTTTTTTACATAAAGCACTTCTAAATTTAATTTAGTCAAGAGTTAATTGCATTTTAAGTCCTATATTTTCTAATGGTATTATGATAACTTGTGTCAGTTAGGGATGACAATTGAACTCATACTAGAGGTATCTAATTCGGTTTGATCCGATCAAATCAATTAAAATTTAGGGTTGACAAGTTTTGAGTGAGGTGCGAGTTTACTCATCTTTTGAAATCGTGAATTGGATACAGGTTTTATCAAAATCCGACCCGCAACCGAAAATTAGAACGGCATCATTCCATATCTAACCCTAATAAGATGGATGTTATTAATCTTTATAGCAATGTAGTTGTACAATTTTTTTGACAATACATGTATGTTTAGATAAATTATTTGCTCCGTGAACTCATGGATACTCATGTTCTCGTGGGTACTCGTTGGGTTGGGTTGGGTTTCTCTATCATACCCTAGTAGGTATTTTATTGAATTTTTTTTATGTGTGGATGTACTCACTGAGTTGAGTTTGGAGAAACCCGACTCAACCCAACTAACTCATTCGCATCCCTAGAGGTGGTGTTTAAAATGTATGCTCGATTTTGAAATGTGTCCGTATTAAAAATATGTCTATATTCAATTTTTAAATTTAAATCGTCGACATTTGTTTAACATTACGGTATATGCATTTCATTTACGATTACAACTAATAATTTATGGTTTGAAGAGGAACCTAGCTGAATTGGAACCAATTTTATTCGTAAATTTCCAAACGACATGAAATTTTGGTGGAATTTTCCAAAACCCCATAATAAAGCTAATTATATTTTAAGTAAAATCAATCGACCATATGCTACATATATGATCTTAATCCCCTCACTTCATCATTTAGAGCATTCATATCACTCAAAAGTCATTGCACATTCTCTTTCACTTATCAAAATGTAATATCTTAGAAAAGAACCAATCAAAATCTTCATCCCAAGAACTTAATATATGTCATGTTATAAACCCACAAACTTCTAGTTACCAAAATTGTTACTATCTAAAATCGTGATTCGAATATGATACATAGCAAAATCGTTCCCATTTCCATCCCCAACCGAGTCACTAACCCCTCCCGGCTTTGTGCAGCACGAGTTGGTTGTGGTTGAGTTACTTTGGAAAAAGGCAGAGGTCGCCATGACTTCAGCTTGAGAGGAAGTATCCTTCTGTTTTTTGAGGTATTTTCTTTCGTTACGTAAAGAGTTAGGGTAAGGAAGAAACCAGTGTTGTCAAAGCCGGACCGGGCAACGATCCGGATTAGCGAGAGGTTTAAGGTTTATCGGATAACCGGTATTTAACCGGTACAAAACCGATCATAAAACCGGTGACATATATATTTTTCAAATAAAATAAGAATAACTTCATGATACATATAAAATTTAGTGTTTAAATTGAGAATTATATATCTTATATACATAACAATTGAAGAATTCCTAATTAAAAATATAATTATAGTACTTATAAATGAATAAAACTGTATAATTGTTGAGCAATTGATTAGGATTTAGGAGATGGAGTTTATGCCTTTTTTTCAGTTTTCACCCGTTATGTCTTTAATTGGGAAGTTGAAGGGATGATTTTTTTTTTTTTTTGAAGTTCTTGAATGGAGAAATTGAAAATCAGTAGAAGAGATAATCAATTAATCATTAGTGATAAGAAGAGAGAGAGATCGTGGTTGAGGAAAGAAAGAGGATAGAGAAGATTAAAATGGAAAATGAAAAATGAAAAGTGAAAGGTGTGTGCAGAGAAAACAGACAAGTAGAAAGTTATAGAAAAAGGAAATAAATATTATCTTTTCCTTTTCCATTTAATGTATCGATTTTCAAAAAACGGCAATTTCCAAAACAAAGAAAGACTAATAAAAGGAAGGTCAGTACTATAACTGCCGGTACGGGTCATCCGGATTTACCTGTTAGTCGGTTGAACCGGCCGATACCCGGGCGGCAGTTTTTTTTGCGTTTTTAACAAGCCGAAACCGGAAATCTGGGCGGATCCGAGTTACCGCGGTCGGACCGTCCGGTCCGGCCCGGTTTTGATAACAGTGGAAGAAACCAAGCCATTCTTTTCCCCTTTTCTTGAAAGAGAGGGGAAAACGCTGGTGGAATTAATTGCTTATTGTTGTTGGGAGGTTTGGCTTGACCATCAAAGTTAGTTGATCTGCAGGGAGAAAGAAAAGTCAAGTGTATTAGCAAAGAAGTTGGAAATTCTCTTGGGCATCTTGTAGATCTTGATTGTGCTTTACTGCTGTGGCTTAATCTTTGTTTGTTTCCAACTCCCCAGTTTTTAAAAGGTGCAATCATGATGGTTAGTGAAATCAGAATTACCGTTTTGAAACTTTACTATAAGATAGAAATTATCTCTAATCCGTCGGTTCATGGAGTGCGATGGCTGATGATGACTAGTATTATGTGTTTAAAGGTGTTTTGTGTATTTCTATTTAAGGATTTGAAATAGATGTGTTGAGGGATGTGCAATGGTTCGGTACCGAATCGAAATCATGAGAATCGCGGTATATTAGTGAAAGATATCTTAGAATTAAGGATCAGACAATCATTGCATTCGGTCACACTACTGCAGGTTATGACAGAGCGGGTATCTCAATGCTCTTGCCCCGCGTCACACTACTGCAGGTCATGACGGGTAAAACCCACTTGGGTATGGGACGGGACGGGAGGGCCGGGGCGAGTCGACCCACTCTTACATATTATTTGGAAAACATATACACATATTTTACTCTTTACAATAAAATGAAGTGGAAAACACTTTATAAACGAAAATAGTGATAATAGATGAGTAATTGAGTCTAACTAGTTGGAAGATCGACTCTAACTAGTTGAAGAAAAGTCAAAATAGGAGAAATATGTATAAGAACGTTAAGAAATTTTGATAGAATGGGCCAAGAACGGGGCGTGACAGTGCGGGTCGGGTAATAACCGCCCCATCGCGGGTTAAGACGGGTAATATCCGCGGAACGGGTTCAAATTTCCATCACTAGTAACGAGAGAAGTGCAACGGTACAAGTAAGGTCAGTTACAGCAGATGAGGAACGATATCGAGAATATGGATCCTCTCAAAGCAAGCCACGATCTTTTGATAGCTTCTTTTAGCCACCTGTTCTGCCTTTTTGTTCCCCACTCCTGGATACGAAGGAACCTCAGCCCCACGTGTCACTTTGTGACAGTGGGTCTTACTAAACTTGCGGGCCACCTGCATTCGATTCGAAGCCAATGGGGCTTCGCCCCCCAACAGCCTTATACCTCCGGGAACACCAACGGGCCTCACTTGGATTCGAACTTGAGATTTGCAACTCCCAAACCTTCACTATCGCGGTTGCTTTACTGTTAGACTATCTTACCTTTGATCACCTTAATTATATAGTTGGCCATAAGGATTCGGTGCATATAGTGAATCCACGCCATAACGTGTCGAGGACAGACGTTTGGAAGTTGCGATAGTTTGCATCATTTTTTTGTTTTTTTAGCAGAAACAATACATGGATTGTTTCTGTGATATGACAGAAACTATCACTCATTTTGAGTGATTGTTATATTTCAACTTTTAGTTGAGATAGTTGAGTTGAGATTGTTTTGTCTCGGCTTTTAGCTAATGCGACATACACAATCACACATACCAAACGTTGTATTCTACAATGCATCAAATTCGACAATACATGTATAATATTATACATGCACTCTCAACAATACATCTATTTAACAATCGCAACTTCCAAGTATACGTGGAGATTGGGTGATGATGGTTCTTTTGTAAATAATTCCAATTTCATGGACATCAGTCCAAGAGGCCCAACTTTAGGCATTTTCAATTCTATAGATACGTGTTACTATTCGTTAAGCGTACTTTTTGGTAATTATATCAAAATTTACCAAGGAACGACAAGTGGAAGTAAGATCAAATAACAAACAGGTAGTAATATGGATCGTTGCAAATTCCATGGTGAGAACCTCTTGATGCTACAGGTCTCAGCCCTCCACATTTGGCTTACTTCATTTCTCCTTCTATATGAACCAATGCAGGGGAAAGTGTGAAGATGCATACTCCTGCAGCTGAGGAAAGCACAATCTCGAGTGTATATAATTATTCTATTCTTTACAGAAGTGATATGAGACAGACCATGCATCCAAGTTCCGGCTGGATAGAAAACATAATTAACTACGAAGTTGTAAAATCATCCATGAAACATAGTTCAAATCCAGCTCATACTCAAATGACAAACTGACAAGTTCTTTCTTCAGGAATCTCTGCATGCAGCAGCCATCCTTCTCCTCCATACCTCTCTCAGCTGAAAACCAAGCGACAGAGCAAACAGTACCATAACTCCCCCACAGGCAGGGAACCGTGAGATCCAAATCTGAATCCAACCCCATTCCCACCCCACAGTTTTCTCAAAGACAATGAAACTCGAGATTCTCACAGAAATAATAAAGTAAAACTCAATCATGCAGCAAGTTGACATATATATATAAGAATTCCCATTCTAGTTGATGAAGATTAATAATATGAGAAGGAAGAAAGAACCAGATTCAGTTATAATGGGGTGAGAATTACAAGGGGCGGTTGATTGACCTTGTTTACCTTTTTTGGGCACTGAACTTATGCACAAATCCACACACATTGACTGTTGATCTGAGATTATTAAAATAAATGAGATCTTCCTGACCAGATTATGTGGGAACTATACGCTGAACTTGGATTACTCTTTCGCATTTGATTCTGTTTTCAGGGGACAAATCCAGAGAATTCAGTTTACTGTCTAGTATTAACTGCCTGACGCTTCCTAAGGTTAACTACATTTAGGGTAATATAATAATACTATTAGTCTAAACTTTTCCAAAGGCCACCCCTGACCCTTGGCTTATATAAACTCTCCCCAGCTCAAAACTACAAAAGTCACTTACTTTCACAGTTGCAGAAGAGGAGGACAATGCCTGAGCAAACTATGGAGATCCCCACCATTGATTTCAGTGAGCTTGAGGGTGAGAACAGGAGCAAGGCCATGGAGATTCTGCACGATGCTTGTGAGAACTGGGGCTTCTTTCAGGTAATTTGTGAGGGAAGCTTGTATCCACTCTCATGCAATCAGGTGACAGGATCCCATAATGACATTGACAGGGCTTTTTTTATGTCTTGCTGCAGATTCGAAACTACGGGATTGATAGCAAGTTGATGGAGAAAGTGAAGCAGTTGGTTGATCAACACTACGAGGAAAACCTGAAAGAGAGCTTCTATCAATCAGGGACAGCCAAGAAGCTGAATAATAAAGAAAACCCATCTGATGTGGATTGGGAAAGCAGCTTCTTCATCAGGCACCGTCCAACCTCTAACATCCATCAAATCCCAAACCTGCCTCAGGGTTTCAGGTGAGTGCCTTCCTCATACGAAAGCAACTCAAGATTCTGCCTCTTATTATCTCTGGGATGCTCTGACTAACGTTTACATGCATTTGCAAAATGTTAATGGCAGCAAAACCGTCGATGAGTACATTGCTGAAATGATAAAGCTAGCAGAGAAACTCGCCAACCTCATGTGCGAGAATCTGGGATTAGATGAAAGTTTCATCAAGGATGCTTTCTCTGGGAAAGAGGGTCCTGCTGTGGGAACAAAAGTTGCTAAATACCCAAAATGTCCAGAGCCAGAACTTGTGAGGGGGCTCCGAGAGCACACTGATGCCGGTGGGATCATACTCCTGCTTCAGGACGATCAAGTCCCAGGGCTCGAGTTCCTGAAAAATGGGGAGTGGTTCCAGATTCCTCCATCCAGGAACAACACCATTTTTGTGAATATAGGTGATCAGGTGGAGGTCTTGAGCAATGGAAGATACAAAAGTACTCTGCATCGAGTCATGGCTGACAAGAACGGAAGCAGGCTCTCCATAGCCACGTTCTATAATCCAGCTGGTGATGCGGTCATAACTCCAGCTTCGAAGCTTCTCTACCCCCTCTCATATACTTTTGGTGATTATCTTCAGCTCTATTCTGCCACAAAATTCACAGACAAGGGAACGAGATTTGAGACCATGAAGGAACTTGCTAAGGGTAGCAATGGGTTCCATGCCTAAGACTGCCCCTTTCTATGTCTTAAATAACTGTTTGCTTGCTTGCTTCATTTTCTGTTTTTACTGCTGCTTTACTTTCCCAATTAAACCCTCATTTATGTAAGAGGAAGCCTGATGGAAAAGTGAACTGAAGAGTTGTCTGGCTCTGTGATTCCGTTCCATCAGAAAGTATCTGATGTAAGAAAATCTCCACTTCATATACTCAATAACGTGATTCTGCTAAATACCATGAAGAAATCTGACCATGGAAACAAAACGAGGAAGTAAGATAAAATATTCTTCGGCTACAAGCTTTCCAGCTTTGACAATATAGATTTTGTCACAAGGGTATTGGTTTGTGCTACCGATTCAGTCAATAATGGCTTATGAGAATGCAATAATGAACCAAATTTCTTGGTGAGACACAACAGAAAGTGTCCAAATTTCAGGGACCTGGAGAATCTCGGAGCCAAGTTATGAACCTGGTGAACAAGTTGATCTACAGTGTCCTGAGTCAACTGAACGTTATGACTCATTATGTTCTGTATTAGACTGAACAATGATTCAGTCCACACCAATTCTCTAGATATAAGACACTGGTGGCAAGGCTGGCAGATAGGTTTTCTCTCGCCTTCTTTTCCACAGAAGAGCTTCTGGCATAACGCGGATACATGAGCTCTATGCAAGCATTCCTTGACAATCCTTGTGATCACTTCACATATAGGATTGTTGATGCCATCCTTTCTCATTAAGAGTGGAATCAGTAGTCCGTATTCAGCAGCTCGCTCATGAAGCTTACAGAAATTCATAACTGAAGAGATCAGTACACGAGAAGCTGGTCTTTCTAGAGCCAACAGCTTGGGAAGGATTACCGAAGATATGACGTGGCTAGGCCAAGCAAGCTCCTCGTCACTTCCACTAAGAAGATGGGAAACCAAAACTGCTGCACTTTCATCATCCACTTTCCAAGGTTCAATCAAACCCAAGACTGCAAGAGAATCAGCTTTACTATCTACACAAAGTTCGCGGATTTCTTCGGCCAATTCAACAGTTTTGGAACCAGAGTCGACATTCATGAGCCGAGTTCTCAACCTTGCTGCCATGTTTTGCATCTCTGGATCCAGAACATCATTCTCTGAATGATCAATATCCATCCCTTCAGCAACATCTTTCCAGTTATACAGTTCATTCTCCCCAACTTGAGTGAGTGAAGTTTGTTGCTGTTCAGTGTCACGACTAGAAATCAAATCTCTTGAATTCAATTCATCATGGGAAAGAGGAAGCCATGGAAGAACTACTTCATCAGTAGCCACAGCCACAGCATCCTTGAGCCAACCCGGCAGTGACTTAAACTCTATCTCCACTCTTGATTCATCAGAACCCAAAACCAAATCAGGAACCCATTGGCGACCTGAGCCAGACAATTTATCGAGCAGGTCGCGGGCAGCGCTCTGGACCCAGAAATCAACACCACAACCCTCACTCAACACACGCCTGCACAATCTATTCAAGTCCACACTGCAAAATCTCTCCTGCTCAACAGAAAGAAACGCTAAAATTCTAGACTGGACCATACTGGGTAGCGTCTGTATGAACATGACCCTGTCGTGAAAGTTCCAATAAAGAGACCATAAAAGAAGGAGCTAAAGTGCTAAACCCTAAACCAAAATCGACACATCGATGGAGCTCCCAAAAGTTACCTGCTTTTGGTCTGGGGAGGCGAGGAGTCAGATTCACCAGCGACGGAGTCGACAGGTTGAGTGAGTAAAGAGAGGAAGGAGGCGGCGGAGATTGGGAGGGTGGAAGAAACGTTGAAAGATCGGTGAAGCCATAGAGAAGCTTCGATCTCTGGAGTTGGGGAGTTGAGGAAAATGTCGAAGAGCGGAACCCATTGCTCCATGATTCGTGCCTTGCTCAGTTGCCGCCTCCCAATTGCAACAGGAACAGATACAGTACTGCAACTGGCCCTCCGTCGAGCGAGAAAACGCGGGAAAGGAGAAAATCCTGCTTCCTAGAGCCAGAGCGGGATGGGAAAGAAATAAGGACTAGCGTCGGACTAAAGCGTAACTCATTTTTGGGTAAATAAAATTTAATATCCAAATCTTTTATTTTAAACAATATAATAGTCAAACCTTTTCGAAAACAATCTAATATCCAAATCGTCAACTTTCTGTCTGTTTGACCGTTAGTTGACACTTCAAAAAAGTTCGAAGTACGACACTTCATCAATATCCATCGATATCTTTTCTGAAAAACCACCAACATATCGTAGCTCCAAACCCGAGAAGTCCATGACTCCACCATGATGGTATAGAATATCTAAATATTCAGTCATCTGCAATGCCAAAACAAGAAACACAGTTGTATTGCGACAATTTCCTCTAAACAAAGCTTTTTTGAAGTGTCAACTAACGATCAAACGAACGGAAAGTTGACGATTTGGATATTAGATTTTTTTCGAAAAGGTTTGGCTATTATATTGTTTAAATTGAAAGGTTTGGATATTAAATTGTATTTACCCCTCATTTTTTTTACAATTACTAAAACGCAACTCTTGTACTTCCACTTAGTTGGAATTAAGATCTCTTTTGGAAGTGGTAATTGTTCGAATTGCGTTTATTGAATATATGTAGTGTGTACAATATAATATTTGGAAGTATCAACTTGCAAAATGTAAGTATCACCAACAATCACAAAAAATTATGCATCATACAATCTCAACTATAAGTTGAGATTGTTGGTTTTAGATTTGTGTCTACTTTTTTCTTGCTATATCTCTGATAGTTTTTGTCTTATACTAAAAGTTGAGGGTAATCGTGACATTTTCCCGTGAAGTAACTTTATGCAAACCAATACATAAACTGGAATATGGACAACCAAACAATGTATTGTCAAAATGTATCTATTGTATCAACGCATGTATTTATATTAAAGTGATTCATTACAATCCAATGATTTAACATTCGCATCTTCCAAACAAACCCTAAAATTCCATTATGCTAATTTGGCAGGTGGTATAGTCCGACCAGTGGTATAATTGATTTATGTAAGTTCATTTTGATTTAACAAAATATATAGGAAAGTGAGAAATCATTAACACTAAATGACTTTAAGCACATATTTTAAGACAATATCTCTAAAATTTACATTCATATTTTAAGAAAATATAACATTACAAACAAAATGAAAAAAAATTTATATGTAAACTCAATATTTAACACCAATATCCAAAAACTTATACTTGAATCCAACAAACAATATATACATCTAAACATTCATCATTAATCCAACAAATAACATTTAGCATTTGACTTTCAATTCAAGCAACAAAGCAAAAATTATTTTTTTATCAATTAGATTTACCAGAATGACATCATTTTGTTTAAATATCAAAATTCGTTCATGTTGGTTTTAATGAAAACATGCTTCTGACATGAAAACCATGGTTGGAAATAACAAGAGTGGATGAGTTTTTGTTGGGATATTAGGAAATAAATTCGTATAGGTGTTGAGTTGCTTTGTATGACTATTTGTTCTACATCTAACACCCTATTTAGTATTATTTTCCATTTCTGTTTCATGTTTCCATGTGTGAAATCCATGACTGATGAAATCCATAACAAAAGTTGATAACACGAACATATTAAAAATTAGTTGAAATCAGTGAAATCATTTAAAAAAAAAAAAAATTTATTGTTTCCCAGAATCGTTTCTTATGGAATTCTATCGGTTGTTGGAATAATTTCTCTATTAGTTTGATTTCTATTCCTTTTTATGAATTAAACTCCTTTGTTGTTTGAATAAGATGAAGCCTAGCCATGTTTTAGGATATCGACTGAATACAATACAGCTCTTGATATTTGATTTCTTTGATATATTCTTATTTTATCTTGTCAATATTCAATTGAAGTAGAAACCATGTAAGACCTACAAAAGCACTTAAGGACATAAGAGATTAATTGGGTCGCTATAATATAAACCATGTAAAAACCTACAAATTACGACGAAACTAAACTTAATACGGGAGTTCATGGATCGATTTAATGCATCAATTAGTTAGCTTTAGGGCAATGAGAATATCGCGAGTCTTAACTAATTGATCGATAGAGTGTTAATACATGAGAAAAATGGGTTAACACTAGTATAAGAATTTCTTCGATCAAGAAAACAACATCGATCGGTACTATGTGTGCATGGTCGATCTTAATTAATAACTAGTTAGGGGGTATTCGAACCTGAGCAACCCTTTCCTCATTATTGAACTTGAGTTTGGAATTATGCTTTAGTTCGTTAGCTTGATTTACTTGTTAATTAGTGTAGTTTAATTAAGTGCACTGAAATCGTATGTAGGGATGGCAATGCGGCGGGTTTGGGGCGGGTTTGTTTAAACCATCCCCATACCCATTTTCAAATACCCAAACCCATACCCGCCCCATACCCATGCGGGAAATGTTTTGCAAACCCATCCCCATACCCGTGGGTTTCGGATACCCATGGGTAATACCCATACCCGTACATCCAACATTATTATACCTAAAACTTACAAGAAAAGTTCTAATTATAACTCTAAACGAACATATTAAATCATGAAGTCAACAAATCACAGTTATTTTTTTAATATGGTTCAAAGATTATGATCCTAAAATATCCATTAATACATAATATAGAGTATAATATTTTTTAAATTATTATGTTCTAACTCTGATACATCTACTAAATAATAATTAACTAACATAATCTTGTTGACAAGGGGGAAAGTGAAAGAGTGAAATGAGAATTGAGAGAAATGAATTAGATTTTGATTAAGGTGGTCACTCAATTGCATTTCTACTATTTATTTTCTCAAGTTATCATCATCATCATTGATAGATTATAATTTGATGCACATATATTTTTTATATATGAAGAAATTATCTTGGTGGGGCGGGTATGGGGCGGGGAGGCTAAAATCATACCCGCCCCATACCCATCAAACTTTTTGCGGGTTTTACCCATACCCGCCTCATACCCGGTCAAAGCGGGGATTTCCCGCGTTCTCTGGGTCGGGGGCGGTCGGATACCCGCGGCCATGGGTTTGATTGCCATCCCTAATCGTATGAAGAGGCAATTCATAGATCCGGTCCAACAGGCAACAAAGAACTTGGATCGATGAGAATAACTCTAAGGTTCAAGAGAGCCCAAAATATATAACCAGACGACCGACCACGACGATAAGAACGATGGATTACGGACGGGGGGCGGTTGCATGGATGCGCGAAACCGAGAAGAACGTAGAGAAGATCGATGTGGCCGGCGGCGGACTGTAGCTGGTAAGTAGTATCTGTAAATTTATACCCGCTAATATTCTCCGGTTAACGAGAAAGCCCACGTTGCATTGCTTGCTACAGACGAAGTGCCTCCATGTGCTCTCATAACGCCGTCCACCGCCACATGCCCCATCTAATTTTCAGAGAAGTCGTTAATACCAAATGAATTGCGTAAAAGATATTTTTAAAACGATCTCCCTATAATCTATATTAATATCCAAATAAAATATCACATTATAAACAAAGTGACAAAATCATCGTATTCAAATGCAACATATATAAGACCAAGACGTTCAAACTCAAGTCCAATGAAAAAGATATTAATATGTTGTCATACTTGGATTCATTAAATTCCTCTTTTTTTTGTTAGTTAATTCTATCAAAACGTATGTTGTCATTTGTTTAAAGCTGGAAAGTTATCATCCCGATTTGACCGTGATTTTCCCAATTTTGATCGACTTTGGCCTTTGATATAAGGTTTGACTATCGCTTCATACCTATATTTTTGCCATCCGGTTTGTGTACAATACTGACTGAATCTGGTTATACCGGCCAACACTTCACAATAAATTCAGCAGTTGTGTAAGATCGAGATCAGGGGCGGAGGGAGAGGGCAATAAGGTGGGTCTCGGGACCCACCCTAGCTCGGGAGAAAAATGACTAAATTAGGTATAATAGTTAATTGGTACTAAAAATTAGGATGTATTGAATTGATATTTGTTGATCGAAAAGTCTTGTGTTCGAGTTTTGGCGACCTCATTCGTTAAACACATATAGTATTCGGATTTGTGCAAACTTTAATTCCATATAATTTGATTTTCTTACAACTGGGGGTGTGTTGGTAAATGATATAAAATATATTATTGAATCTCACCCAACAACTCTAACTATAGATAGTACGGTTATTGACAAAGAACACAATTCCATAGAGAACAAATAACTAAATCATGAATAATTGTTCGTATAAGATTAATATTAAACCTCTTTCAACAACTCGAGTTATTGATAGTAAACAATTATTGGCAAAGAGCATCATTCGAAAGCGAACAAATAACTAAATTATGAATAAATGTTTGGTACATAGAGAGTGATATTTTTGATTGTTTTGACTATTAATGTATTTTATTTTATCAAAAAATTTAAATATAAGATTATATTATTAATAATTAAAAAATTGACAAAACTATTTAATATGTATATTTTTTCAAAGTGGACCCACCCTAGTCGAAATCCTAGCTACGCCCCTGACCAGGATGAGTGGTGTCTAACTATGGACTTCAATGGGAGGGATGGTGATGAGAAAACCAATTGTGAAATTGATTTTTATAGGCTTGAGAGATGCACATGAGATGTAATATCGATGCATATTAACGGTAGATTACTTCATCTGAAAAAAAAGTGATCTAGTAATTGATTGCTAATTTCTTCATCAAATAGTTTCCTAAATTATTGAACACGTACTTTAGTACATGTAGTCCAAACTTATTTATGATGAGAATTTTTATTTTCATGTTGTATTGATTATTGAGAGAATATATCTTGGAGAAAAAATCAATTATCTTATCTTTTCGAATTTCCTTTTTGAACATGCACACTAGTGTAAAACCAAAGAAAACAGGGGAAGTCAAAAAGGAAACACACTAACTTGAACTTCCCCTCCCCTCTTCTTCCCTTCCCTTTCCACTCGCTGCAAAAAGCTTTCCCTATAAGAGAACGCCTTTCTTTCAAATTCCCCCCAATTCCAGCAAACCACACAGTCAAAATCTCTCTCTCTCTCCCTCTTCTCTCTCTCAAAACCATGGCGCTATCCAACAACCTAACCGCAGTCCTGAACTTCATCGCCTTCCTCTGCTCCGTCCCAATCGTCGCATCGGGGATCTGGCTCGCCTCCCAGCCGGACAACGAGTGCATCCACTTCGTCCGGTGGCCGGTCGTCCTCCTCGGCCTCCTCGTCCTCGTCGTCTCTCTGACCGGCTTCGTCGGCGCATACTGGTACAAGGAGACACTCCTCGCCTTCTACCTCTGCTGTATGGCCATCCTCATCGCCCTCCTCCTCACCCTCCTCGTCTTCGCCTTCGTCGTCACCAGGCCCGACGGCGGCTACGCCGTCCCCGGCCGCGGGTACAGGGAGTACCGGATCGAAGGATTCTCGTCCTGGCTGCAAGGCCACATCGTCGATTCGAAGAATTGGGGCGCGATTCGCGCCTGCCTCGCCGAGAGCGACGTCTGCTCCAGGCTCACCCGGAGCTACCTCACCGCGGACCAGTTCTTCGCCGGCCACATCTCTCCTCTCCAGGTTATTAGTTCATCCTTTTCGAGTTAGGGATTCGAATTGAGATCGGAATAAATTGAGCTATTGAGATGAACGGATTACGCGCGCGTTAGTGCACAATTCGAGAAAGATGCTTGAAAATCACTGTAGGAAAGGTGAGTCAGTGAATGTGCTTAGAAGTTAAGAGCAGGGAGGAGACAGCCATGGATGGGAATGGGACCCATTGTTGGTGGAATTTATCATTTTCAATGTGAAGGTCCCATGATCCATCATTAGCCACAAATCTACGAACAAGATGGCGAGGGAGCTTTCTAACCTTTCCCCCCCTTTTTGTGCTGGATAGTGAGCAAGGTTGTCAAACTTGATTAATCTATCAAGTCGGTTTAATAAATGATTTGAGGTTTAATGGTCGAATCAGTTCAACTCAGTTTTAACAGAATACCTGGGAAAATCTTTAACATCAAATATATTATTATGCATAAGAAATGTATTACCAAATTATGAAAGTTGTTTTTGATTGGTTTAATCCGGTTTTGATTGATCGGACCACCCAATTTTGACTGGTTTGTCCCGATTTCGATTTTCTCCCAGAACCATCCAGCCGGAGTGTATTCCAATTGTTTCATATGACCGGTTTTGGTTATAGACCAGTTTGAATCGGCCGACCGGATGCCAGTTCTTGACAGTGATGAGCGAGCAGCTTTGTTTGAATTTTGCTATTATGGATTGTGAAATACACGATCCAATAACGGCAATGAGTGTAGTCAATCTGTAGCTGACTTTGCTATCGTGCTTATATTTAGATTTTTGAGAAACTATGTTACAAAGACGTACGAATCGCTAGAACAATTTTACAAATAAATTATCATTTGCCTTTCATCCAACGATCACGAAACATCAAGACACCTGCTTTTATAAATGCACTTGTACAAAGTCATGTGAGCACCATTGGTTGGTTGGTAGCAACATATGATGTCTCCGTCATAATTAATCAATCAAAATAGGCTAAGGAAACAGAAGCCCTAATGAAAAGTCACCTTCCGCAAGGAAACGGAAATGGGTTGGCACTTCCACAACCCACCGCCTCAATTATTGTCGCAAATTATGGCAACTCCAGACTAAAACGACAAAGTGAAAGTAGAAAACTCCAAAACCTTTTTACAATAAACAAAAAAATGAACTGTCACATGTTTTCCCTTTTGTCCCTTTTGTTTTACTAAACTGCTCTGCCTTTCGGTTTTTTTTGGCAACGATTGCAGTCGGGTTGCTGCAAGCCGCCGACGGTGTGCGGGTACAGCTACGTGAGCCCGACGACGTGGGTGAACCCGGCGAACCCGACCGGCGACCCGGACTGCTACAACTGGAGCAACGAGCCGAACCAGCTCTGCTACAACTGCAACTCCTGCAGGGCCGGGCTGCTGGGGAACCTCAGGAAGGAGTGGCGGAAGGCCAATACTTTCCTCATCGTCGCCGCCGTCGTGCTCATCTTCGTCTACGTCGTCGCCTGCTGCGCTTTCAAGAACGCTCAGACGGAGGATCTCTTCCGCCGTTACAAGCAAGGCTGGGCATAAAACTTGTAGTAAGGTAATGTTATGTAATGTAATGTAATTCCCCACTGTCACACAAGCATTTTGCTGCTGCTGCTGCTGCTGCTGCTTCGTTGATTCTGTGCCCTTTTTTTCTTCTTCAATTGTTTTTGTTTTTTCTCTTTTGGAGGGCTTGTGGGCTGGTGGGTGTGTAATGTGTATATATTCGATTCTGCTTTTGGTCATATCTAGAATATGTTATCTGGAATCGGATTCATCATCTCTTTGTTCCTCTGTCAGAACCTAACAAGGAGGAAGAAATCCACGACCATATCTTATACAACTCACTTACACGCCCCCAAACGAAAGCCAATTTACGCGGGCTTGATGTTTGTACAGACCCATCATACCTTGTGCTTTAGTAGACTGTTAATATTGGGGGTTGTGGAGATTCGAACACACGACCACTTGGTCAGATCAGCTCTGATACCATGTTAAGAACCAGTTGATCCCAATAAATAACTCGAGTTGTTGGAAGAAAGTTATGTTAGATCTTATACCACTCTCTTACCATCGATATGTGTAACAAATCATGGAGCTTCATCTGAGTACAAGAGTTTTTGAGTTTAGGGGTGATATATATTAGTTATATCTGCAGCTTGGGGATGAGAACTTCAAGAGACGAAAGCAAATTGAAACCGGGATGATACAGGCGTAATTAGTGAACAACCAACACAGAACCAGCATATTTTCAACTTGTTGAAACTTGCAACTGAAGAAAGAAAGGGCACCTTGGCCCTTGACTTACTGGGCTGATCCATGAATTTTGGGCCCGTATCATGATAATCTGCCTTCCCAGTGGGCTCTCTGTTCATGTCATTACATTAGAATCCAGGCCCTCTCAGTCCAGTGAACTTTCTTCCATAAACTTTTTTCGAAGGTTGGTTAACAATCACGAGGATGTATGCTACATAAAATATATACACCATGCAATCGAAAATTTTCTTCCTATCAATTGACTTGTAGGGTTCAGATTTGGGGACATTGTACTTCCTCGTGATTGCAATTTGATTAAGACCTTACTCGAAGCCAAAATCAAATACACCGTGTTCATTACATCCTGATGTTGTCATCAATGAATTCGAATCGAGCAGTAGTATGACGAGATTTAGTTTTCGAGACCGGAAGATTATCGTTGATTGTACTAAGGCCTTTAAACATGAAAAGACAAAAGTGCACAGTGGCGGAGGCAGTGTTGAAGGGAAGCTTGTCAATTATCAGAACCTACAAGAAATGGTCAAAGAAGGAAACTCGGCCTCGCAAGCAAATTGGGAAAGAATCTTTCAATCAAACGAGATCAATCCATAAATCAATCAGAAGCAAATCAAAGCCTCAAGATTAGGGATGGACTAACGGCTAAGAGGATGGGTATAAGTTAGAGGGATGTAGAATAGTCAGGACACCTTTTTCAGAATCGTTGTTCAAAAACAGAGTCAGGGAGATAGTCTGTGTTTTGAAAGAAAAAGGAGTGGAGCTGTCGGAGAGTGATAGCTTGGAGAGTGTTGTTGATAGTCCGGGCGAGACATTGGCGGGGAGCTAACGTCTCAAGTGGGACTCTGATCTGGTGACGGGGAGTTACTGTGAGATTGGTGGTGAAACATTGTAACCGAAACTCAAAGTCTTAGTGCAACGTCGAAGGTCTCGAAACAGAGATCCTTCGACCGTGGATTAGTCGGTGTTAGGATCATCATTTACCTAACACCGGATACCACGTAAAAATAGCGTGTCTGGCTTTATGCGTTCTGTTCTGCGATTTCTATTTTCCAGTTTTAATTGAAGTTCTTGATCTCGTGTGCTTGTGAACCTTGAGAAAGACAGGTTGTCGATCCACAGGGTCCAGACCAGGAAGAAGTAATCGAGTTGTCAAAACGCAGAGCTTCATCAGTGTGATTTGGGCCGCGTCTGGTTTGACAGCCCAAGTCTATAAGCTTTAGCCCAGCCTGTTTTCAAGACCACTTGTCATACACGTCGTCGGTTTGGCAAACACCAACAGAGAAGTCCCTTCCCCTTATTGTCGATTCAATTTTTGTTCATCTTAACTTCTTTCACTTGATTCCGTCAAAATCGAGATTAGGGTTTTGCAGAATACAAATTGATCGAGAGAGGAGGAAGAAAGGTCCCTGAGTCTCGCGCTCGACTCACCCAACAGGCAGCCCTATTGGGCATTGTCCCGGGACAGGGGTAAAATTTGGGAGGAACAAAAATACTTCATATATGTTTATACGAAGGATGGAACACAACACCATTGTACTTCGTTACTATATCATAACTCATTATTTATCATAAATTGACAATGAATTAATTATTATACAATAAACGAAGTCTCAATTGGAATAGATATCTTTTCTTTATATGCCTATTCGATTATTTGCAAGCAATCTTGAAGCAGTCCAGTGGCACCGCCGATTCCACTAGTTTTGACGGCAAGTGTCGATAAAATATTTTCAGCTTTGAGCTATTTGAAGGACAAACTTTGAAGTAGAACTCACGACCAGTTTGCTAATGGTTGTTTAGTGAGATCCATTGAAAAGGACTTACTTAAGTGTGTAGACAAAGAATGTATTATGGGTTTCCTCCGAATATGAAAACTCGTTATGATTGTTTATGAAAATACCGATTGTAATATTAGTTATTTTTTATATATGAAAATAAATTATTTCGATATTATTAATTTAATTATATTTATTAAATATTTATATATTTATAATACGAAAAGAGGACAGGATAGTTTCAAATCCTGCCTCCGCCACTAAAAGTGCAGAGGGGCCTAGTGAGAACCAAACGGGGGCAGGATCAGGAAGAGACGGAACAAACAAATCAACCCCTCAAAATTATTGCCAAACTAAGAAGAAGAAGAAGATCAGTTGCGTAACCAAAGCAAGGTTGGTGACAACATGCGCCCACATTTCCCATGCCAAAACAATTGTATGTGCCTTCGATCAAAACTCCTTTACTATCTAACAAACAAGATAAGCTTTTATATACACACACATAATTTATAATATTGATAAGCCTATAAAATTAGCATGGAATTAAAAGAAATTTTAATGATTTAGACCATACTCTTTTTTTTCCCGGTAATTATCGAAGACCATAATCTTTTACTATCTGAGAAAAATATAGCAGATATAACCAAAGTCTTTGCAATGTTGTGAATTGGCTAGTATACTTTTGGCTAGTTTGACAGTTTTGTAGTTTTTGGGAAAATAGTTTTCGGTGGGTGCTTTTAAATAAAGAATTACTACAAAAAATAATTGAGTGTTTGATTAAATAATTATTAGAATTACTAGTTAACATAAGAAGTCATGTAAAATGACTATAAATGATTTTAACATAAAATATAATTAAAAAAAAAGTATTCAAAATGGATTTGTTAGATTTATTATATTAAATAATTATTTTATTTTATTTTTAAAAATATGTAAAAATGAATAAAAATGATGTTTTCTAAAAAATGATAAAAATGATCTTGTATTTTCAGAAAAATATATTTTGAATAAACTCCAAATCGTCGCTTCTACTTTTATGTTATAAAAAAACATTTTTCATCTATTTCAAAAATTGAGGGTTTTTTTAGAGGAGGTGGCGGTTTATGCATCTCCTGGTTTGATGCAATTTTTATTACCCATAAAATATGGAAAGTTTTAGACGTGCTTACTTAATTTTAAAACATAAAAACAATTCTAAAAGTCGGGTCAAACATAGACTTAATACCGTGCACAATGTATGATGTATGGGGTTAACAACAATAATAGAGCTATACCAAATTACCTTCTAGCTCAGCGGTAATCAATGAGCTCGAGATAGTCTAATTTGCCGTCTTGGATTCTGTAAACGATGTCTATCAATAATTCATGTACCAAGAAAACAATACATAAATTATGCATCCAAACTAAGCACAAGGAAAGATCGCGCTCCTATCCAGATTGAGTAGTTCTGCCATAGTTTCGCAATACATCATACATGTATTCTCAAAATGCACCATATATACAAAAATTGGAGTTTCCTGATATTTGATACTCTCAAGCCTTCAAGTTGCCATGACTCCCAATCTCTAACGCTCCCTTTCTCTACGTTCATGATTTGAGTAAAACGTTCGAAGCTTTCCTAGCTGATAGCTAGGTTACTTATTCCGAACTATCCTAAAAACAAAGACGGTAGGGTTTTCATAAAAAAATTCAGGAACCCAAGAGTAAATTTCCAAAAAAGATCATTGTGACACAAGCATAAGCTTATAACAAAGTGGGGGAGAGTTAGCTAGAAAATAAACGGGGACCAGGCTTTGGTCACATAACTCACTTTCAGAACAAAAGTCTTTTGTTCTAAAGGGATATACATACATAGTTTTACAGTTCATCATTCTCATCCCAAGTTCTCAACAATGATTTGAGTTGGTGGTAGCGACTGGTCTACTCTCACTTCCCATCTCAAACGCAACAAACACAAAGTATAATAATAATACACTTTAATTACCTAGCTCTAGCTATAGTTGTCTGTGTCACCATTCTCATCCAAAAGTAACACCACTAGAGACCACGTTTAACTTTTGCTCTAATAAACACTACAAGAAAAATGATATTTAGCGACAAAAATTTGCGGCACATAAAGTAATTGCCTCCTAAAATATGTTATACTCGACTAATATATTTTATGTCTCTAAAAGTAAATTTAGTTGTCTCTAAAACTATTTTCATTTTATAATTAAATTTAATTTAATTGAAATGTCACATATAGCGGCACAATTATTGTAATTGTCATTTAAAGTTTTATTCTCTTATTCGTGGAAACGTGGATTTTATTATTATAGTCATATTTATAACTTTTGGAGGCAGAAAGTATTTTGCTGCTACATTGACATTTTTAGAGGCTAAAATAATGGTTGTGAACTTGTGATTGCTTCTTCAATTAATATATAAAATTATACTTCATTTCCGAAAATTATAAAATGTGCCTACAATTGTAATTCAAATACCAGCGATTAGGTTTGTCTCCGTATGGTTATATCTGCCTCCAATTATAACTGTACATAATCTACCATTAGCTAATGCTGAACATGTCTCTCTCTTCTCTCTCTCTAACGGAAACATCCTCTGTCCTGCCTAACGGCTCTCTTACCGTCCCCGCCGCTGGGACTGCTACTGCTCACTCTGTGAGCTCCTTTTACTCTTCCCAATCATCAATCTTAGATCGCGAGGATGTTAATTATATTTATTAGAGTACCAACTTGTAAATATGCTCAGCTGCATATACGGCTAGGGTTGAGATCAGCAACCTATATATACTCGTGTAAACATGT